CCGAGAAGATGGAAGGCGGCTTTTGCGACCTTGGGTTTTGGGGCTTTGGGTTTGCGGCTTAGGGTTAAGGCTTAGGTTTCAGGGTTTTAGGGTTTAGGGTAGGGTTTAGGATGACCTTAAGGGATCTTAGGATAGGGGTTTTGGGTTCAGGGTCTAGGATTTAGGGTCTAATTAGAGCTTAAGGTTTCGGGATCAGGTGCAGGGATGTACTGTAGGGTTTAGGGTTTGGGGTTGATTTTTCTTTTCAAAAATGCACGGGTTGTGTTGCAGATTTTACAGGTCCTTCTAAAGAGAGACCACTGAGAATACACTTGCCCCACATAGTCTTACTTCTTTAAGAGACCCGAAGTTAAATAGAACGGCACTGGTCAAGTCTTAAACACTACCAAAATTGGTTTATACTACGCTTCACCCTAGAGCCTTCATGAACCCTAGACCCTAAACTCCTAAACCCTACCTATAGTCTCCATTGTAGTTCCTTTTTGGGGTTACCTTTTGAGATCCTTAATATAGAATTGGTTAAACCAAGAAAAGGAATTACAATGGAGACTATAGGTTGCGCCCAAGCCCCTGAAGATCCGATCCTGTCAAGGTTGGCGAAGCCTGGCCGGGGGCGATTTCGAGCTGCGAACGGTCCGCGCCGGGGGGGATCTCCAAAGTGGACCCAGAGAGCCCAATACCCCTTAATTAAGGAATGTGGCTTAAATTATATAGGGCTTCATATTATGATTTAAGCTCTATTCCTGAATTAAGGGGTATTGGGCTCTCTGGGGAAACGATGCCAACCTTAACACGGAAAGCCTACCTTCTTAAGGATTTAGATAAGGAAATCAGAATAAGGAACCCGCAAAAAGGTAGGTTAGTCAGGGCTAAGGAACTTTAAGCGGGGCGACAGGGCCTGGTAGAGGTTTCATAGGCGTTCTGCAGGGTGCAGGCTATAGGGCCCCAGGGGTTTATGGTTCTGGGTTTTAGGGCTGTTGGGTCGTTGGGTTGAGATGGTGGCTCTAAAGGTTGACGGGTCTGGGGGTAAGCTTAGGTCCTGCATGGTTCAGGGTGAGATATTGAGAGGTCGCTAATAGCCTGCTCTTTTGGAGGCAGCTCATCAAAGTTAGCCAACCAAGAAAATAACGAGGCCTTTACAGTGCCTGTTGTTAGGAATTTCCTGAACAGGCACGCTCCGGGTCATGATCTTGGATGCATAGTTGTTGAGGCTCCTTGGTTCTGTAGGCCCATCCGACTTTGAGGTACGAAGCAATGTCTAAGCCTTGTTTAGCTTGTATCTGCCTTGAGCAATAATGTCCAGATACTCAGATCCCCCGAAGAGCTCCCGAATCTCCAGGTGAATGCAGATCACATGGATTGCTTGACGCCGGAGAAGGGAAAGACGCCCGACATGATCACTCTCGTGGTGGAGGCGAGACGATGGCGGGCGTTATTGTTCCTAGGAATTTATAATGTTATGCGAGCAACAGTAGTAGTCTATGTACGTACAAGGTACTTACGATCGTGACAGAGAAAGCAGAGGGATCCACTTGGATCGGAGCTTCGAATCTTTGTACTGCTTCTTGTTGACATCATGTTGGCGAGTCTTTCGTAGTTGCTTTGATAGATACCATGACTGATATTAGAACTGTCATGAACCTGACCCGTACAATGGATGCGCTGGGCAGTTTTCTTGGAAAGAGCAGAAGGGCTTCGGCAAATGATCTTGGGCTCGAGCTCATGAAATACTTTGCACATGGTCCACGGTTCCTGTTTCAGCATGCAGGACGTGACACCGCATACTATCTTGTGAAACCGTATAACTCCAACTGGACCATCGACCGTTGAAAAAACATAGAAGACACGATAGTAGCTCGACCAGATCGCAAAATCTGCCTGCCAGCCATTCAGAGGTTGTCATCCGACTGATACAGCCTCAAAAGGGAATTTCATCAACCAAGTGACATCATGTGGACCTCAAGCAGTCAGATCCTGAGTGCAAGGCCACGAAAAAACCGACGCCAAACATGCGGATGTTCAAAACTGTGTCAGGACATGAGGAAGCTGCGCTCCTCTGACAGCGGCTGAAGTGCTTCAAAACAGAAAGAACTTCGGGGTACTTAGAAATATTTTTCAACTTTTGGTTATTATAATCTCTAAGAAACAGCTAAAATTATAATTTTCGCTAGGGTTCTAAGTTCAGTATCGAGGAGTACGGCTGTGTGGATTCGAGCCAAGCTCGCAAGGTCTTGCGGGTCGAGGGTTTCAGGCTTTGGATTTGGGTGTGCGCGTGCATGTATAGCTTGCATAGATAATCGTGTCTTCATGATAGCGTCGGAGTCGACAACTTGACCGCCGTAAAGCCCAAACCCCATCCAAAAGACCACTAGTAGCGCATGCAGAGCGAGAGTTTGTGGAGTGTCGAGGCACTTAAAGGTGCCCATAGAGAACCCTACGGCGCCCTTACAGGTGCCCGTAGAAGAAGCCTTCCAGAAAACTGCTTCACGCAAAGCAGGCACTTGGAGACTTGACAATACCAGACAAAGCAGACAAAGTTGACCAACATTGGCTGATCAGATCTGAATCAAGTACCACCAGAAAAGCCGTATTCTGCTTCCAATGATTCAAATCCTTACGTTGGGCCTGTCAGCCTACAACCTGAGCCGCACAACCCGAGCATAGTCTCTGCAAGCAAAGCTGTGAAGCCACCATCGTCGAAGCCCACAACATGCGCCGAGTTCCAGAGTCCGAGAGTTGACCTAGGATAGGAGTCAAAGCTGCTGCCGTTTGTTGCACGGATCACTGGACAAGTGCAGTCGTTCTATTCGTTGAGGAAATCTGCTTAGTTTCGACGTTGCACTGCTTCGCGGTGTAAGGCTGTGGTTGTTATTCAAGTAGCCAGCGCCAATTGTTCTGAACCAGCTGTCAGAATAAAGTTAACGCAGCCTCAACTACTCAGTTGCCCTTAAGTGTCTTCTTTAAAGGCTAGCTTCCAGAAGTCAAGACCGTACACAAAGCTTTGACTCGCAGCTCCCCATGTGCGACCGCAGCCACACAGACCGGAGAAAGAAAAGTGAGAGAAGTAAGCTGAAATTTGGCCCGAAAACCTTGACTGTCACAACGGCTCCCCTTCGAGCCAGCCGTTAAGCCACACTGCCAAAAACACCCCAATATCGAACGCCTTCGGGGTCCAAAATGTAAGGTTTTAGCAGAGCAACGGAGCATTGTAACTTCCTAGGACCTAGAGTAGGCCCTTATTCCCTTTTTTAGGGTTCAGGTTCCCTTATAAGCCCCTTTAAACCAAAAAGGGCACCCTTTTTATTCCTAGCTTACTCTTGGGTCTAGCTTCAGAAAGCTAGAAGCCTCAGTCTCAACGGACTCTCAGTGGCTCCGAATTTAATTAGGGAGACCCGAAGATGATGAGACGAACCCTGGGCCGGATCGCTTTGGCAATTGCCTCTGGGTCGCTGCTCCAGGAGTCGAAATTGATTAGGGCCGTTTAGGGTTTAGGGTTGCTACGATGTGCTTGGGGATTCTGGCCGGGCGAGCACTAATCAAGCCTGTGGAAAAAGGGTTGCTTCGATGCCGTTCTGTGTACGGATGTTTTGCGCACTCTGAACCTACGGCCCAAGTTCTGCCGCACCCAGCAGGCTCTTCCAGAATTGGGATTCAGGCAGAGGAAGAGTAAGGGCAGTGTCAGTTTCCCGAGCCCCGATGGTGGCTTTCAAGGCTGCTTCCCAATTGGATTCTTCAATCCGTTTGTCATGGCCTTAAAGTCCAATATTCCTACTATTAGTAGAATAGGTAACCTTTAAGCTTTTTTGGGGGTGGTACAAAGCCCTACATAATCTCAAAGGTCAACCCTTAGTTCCCCCAGGCTACTGGGAAAAATAAAAAATTTCTGGACCCCGAAGTTTAAGCCAGATCAAGCAGGGCTTTGATTCAGCCAGGGTTCGAAAGTGATGAAGGGTGTCGAGATTCAGGTTGGGAAGCTTGTCGCGGTACCCCTCTTTGGGCTCCTACGATGAGAGTCCAACATATTGGTTGGAAGTAGTTTCTGGAGCATCTTACATTGCACGTGTAGAGGGACTACAAGTGAATACTGCAAAGAATTACAGCAGGCACCTACATTGAGGCAATAGTACGAGAAGATCAAGTGTAGGGCCTGAGGGTTCTGGAGGCCAAACAGACTTTCCACATTTTCAGACTTAAACCCCAAGGCCCAAGGCCATGGCGTGATCCACCAGCTAGCAACAAGCACGAGGACACCTTCATCCAAGGCTGGAGACGTTCCGGGCCAGCGGGCAGGCAGGACTCGTGTCGCTGTGGGGTATATAGTACTACCGCAGGGCAACAGTTCGCCACACGAGCTCTGCAGCGTCATTTTGGGGTGCCAGAATCTTGCCGCGCTTAATGTCGTCATTTTTGCACAAGCCTGGACTGCAAGCCCCGAATTGCCGCTGTATATGGCGCTTTGCCGGATTGGACTTGACCAGAGTTTTCGTGTGCTGAAGCATGCGCGAGACCAGCACGAACGATTGAGTCATGGTGTGGGGAGTGAGGCAACCGCTTCCGTGTTTGCTTCCTTGAATTTTGCTGACTTAGGGGATCATCAACAAGCCTTTTCCGGGAGCCAGGGACGCACCGTCCGACATCTCTGTGGTGCCTAAAGCAGTTTCGATCGTTCTATTCGGTCCTGCTTTGCCGGGTTGCAGATTGTCTGGCGTTCTGTGCAGTTTTCACCGACCCCCCTCCCGAAAAAAGCAAACAAGAAACGTCTCCAGTTGTGTGGCCGTGATAGCAACGGCTCTGCTTTCGACTGGAGCCCGGATGGAGCCAGGATTTTTTCCCTTGCCATCCTGACATGAGTCTCTTTAAATCCCTGCCGGACAGTACTTGCCAGCATACAGACCATTAACCTCAGTGGACCTTGTACAGCCTACAAAGACCCTGAACCCAGCCTTTTGGCTCGAACTGCGTCTTTTGGGCGCGGTTTGCCCCTCAATGAAGTTGGGCTGATGCTCCGGTGGCTGAGCATCCTTGCCTTCCTGCTCTCGCTGCAGGTCCGCGTGCTGAGAGCAGCGAGTTTGATTGTGTTGAGGTCTTGTTGTTATGTTTTCTTTGGCAGCCTCTTGGTTTAGGGTGATCATAGCAAGGGTCGTCACGTCGCTTCCAGTACAGCGTGAACTGCTCTTCAGCAGCTGGTTTTGGAAGATGCGCTCACGCTAATACTGTCGCAGATGCCCTGGTACCCTGATCTGATGAGCCTTACCACCTGTATGCCAGCTCTAGCAAGTTGAGTCCTTTTGTGCAGAGGGCAATCGAAGATCCGCCACATCATGCGATCAGGACTCCAGGGGCGTCTATCGTGCATACCGTGTACTCTAACTCTAAAGTAGCTCGAGTCCTGATGGTTTCTTAAAAGTTAATTCAATATAGTATACGACAGACATCTGTGCTGCTTCCTGCTTCTTCGCAGGGGCGACTCCGGGTTCTGCATGGTGAGTGTTCTGAGAAATCAAGTTTCCTTGGTAATCGAGAGTATTCTTCCGAGTAACAGCACCCTATAGAAGCGTGGCGTGATAAGCCGCGGACATACAGTTAAACTGTAATAGGATATAATGGACCTTTGAGTATGTGTGTGGTTACACATTTCTTTCGTGGACAGAAGATGTTGACCCTGGAAGATGTGGACCCTCGGTTCCGGACTGCAGAGAGCCACCAAGCACGAGCAACAAGACCCTCTTGACCTGTCTGGAGCATCCCGCAGGCCCATACAAGCAGCTACATCCATTAAGTTCCGAGTAAAGAAGATCCCTTTACAGCCAAACACCACGGAGATTTCGGGGCCCTTAGAGTAAAAGCGCTGAAACTGCTGACCGCCTCTTGGCGCTAGGTGCAAGCTGAGCTCACAGATGCAAGCCCTCTTGGCAAGGCATTGGGTTTTCAGCATCTGTTGTTGTGGTTTAGCGGTATTGAAAAGGGGGAGCAGTTATAATAAGCAGGACAGAAGTTCTGAGGAGGGGATAAACTACCAAGTAAATACCCAGGTTTGACAAATAGGGTTTGGGGTTGTTGGCTTCTTTTCAAACCCCCTTGCCAAGGCCCAGGCATGATGAATTTGGATTTCGGGCCAGAGGGATAGGACTCAGGGTGTTTGGTCTCTGATTGTTGGCACATGAGGATGCCCCGCTTAAACATTAGGGTGTGGGATCCGACATAATGGCCTGAAAATGGTGCATACAAAAACTCACTTACAGAAGCATGCTACAAAGCGCGAGGTCGCGGAGACAAATCGGTCCTTTCAAGCACTACGATTCTATATAGATTCCCGGAAAAGGCGCGACACCTACAGGAATCTTGCCGTGCAAAGATCACGACATCCCGAAAGAACAAGGCAGCGTTGCTGAATGCTGGTGGCCCTTGCTCAGTTCAGGGTTACCGAGCTTGTTGGAGTTGTTAAATGATAGTGGTTGCAACCCTAAACCCTAAAACCTAAGCCTAACGTCTGCGATTGATAATCCTAGGCATCCGTAATCCTGAACTCCCCTATCCGATGAAGATGTAGTCAGAAGCTCCATAAAGCCCGAAAACAAGCCCCTTTCGAAGCTCGAAAACGCTGTACCGCAATTGCAATGTGACTTGGCCTCCAGTGTGCAGCAAGAGAGGCTTTGGAGCTGATCTCGAAGCTCAAGAAGCATGTGGCGGAGGAGTTTGGTTTGGGATGTTCGGGGACTTGGGCCCCAAACGACATAAACCCTATACCCCAAACCCAAGAGTTTCTAAAGCCCTACAGACCCCCCCAACTACCCTTCACTTATTGTCGTCGCTAATTCCTTCTTAATTAATGAGAAATATCAGTTCCCTTTAAAGGGTACTTAGGGTGGTGCTGGTAAACTGAGGAGTTTGGGCTTCCGGCTTCAGTAGTTTAGGGTGAAGTGGTTGAGGCCTGCAGTTCGGCTCGTCTCGCGCTTCTGCCTTCGAGCAAAGTTCCTGGACAGCTTGTGGGTTTCAGTTTTAGGGTTTCGGGTTTAGGCAGGGGTTTCTATAGTCTCCTTAGGAAATATTGTCATGTTTTATATAAAACTCATGAGAACATCAAGCATGTGATTTTTATGATGGTTCTAAGAGGGGGTATATAGGTTTAGGGTGTAGCTTTTAGGCATCGACCTTCGGCCCTAAAGGGTTCATTCAAACTCCAGGGTCTCTTTTGAGGCAAGCCGTCCAATCCTCCGGACATACCTAGAATTTTGAAGGGTTTGGGGGTTTATAGGGGTTAGGGGTTTGGGTGTTTAGTGCTTTAGGGTTTTTGGGGTTTAGGCTTTTAGGGTTTGCCCCAAACCGCTTCTTGTTAAGGTCCGGTGTGTGGGCGAAAGTATGCAAAAGGTTCCCCGGGGCCGAAACTATTGCGCCCAAGCTCCCTAAGACCCTACACCTAAGCCAAGTGGTAATGGTGGTGGTGGTGGTAGGTGTTGTTTGCTGCTCATTACAGGCACGACCTGAGTTCGCTGTTCAACTGTTAGACGGCTTTTTTTCTAAGGCGCCTGTGCACAAGCTAGGTGCGATTGCTTATGCCGGCCAGAAAATCATGGTTTGGACCCTCTGTACATCAGTGTCTGAGAACCAAGCTGGAGCCCGGAATTTTGCTGAACCCTGCACTCCGAACCCTGGACACAACTTTGCTGGTGAGGATGGGGTGAAGGAGCAGGAGGCTTACAAGAAGTACAAGGCGGGAGATTCCTGCTGGGGTGGTAGAAACGGTAGTCTACCGATTTTATCGGGTGTTCACGGACTACGTGGCTTCCAGTTGATGAGCTGCTCCCGGCCAGTGTCAATGCTTGGTTTTATCCAGCTAGATCTTGTTTATCAGCAGATATGGAGGCCAGCATCACGTGGGCGTGTCTCGTCTGGGCGCATCATAGACGTAGTTGTTACTCTTACAACTTGCAAACTTTGTCTATTTAATCCGCGAAGACTCCCTTCGATCCCTCGTCATAGAAGCATACCGTATCATACCCCAACCCCCCCCCCCCGCGATGATATCATCATCGCCACTTTCATTTAGCACTGTAGAAACTCAGAGCGCCTGGACTTGATCGTTAGAAGCCCCAGACAACCCCTCCCCGAGCTTTTCGGAGGCCCCCCTATGCATAGAAAACCGATGCATAGAAAACCGAGCATGCAGTGCCGATTCTGCAAAGACCGTACGGTACCTAAGCCTGACAAGCCTCAGCTTCTCAACCCTACCTTGAATCCTAGACCCTAAACCCTCAACCCTACACCCTACACACACCCTGAAAGGCCCTAGAGGCTAACTAGGCTTGAAGCCTCCACCCTTCCACACATCACCCGTTTTCAAAAACACAGTGCAGTAGATCATAGTACATTTATATGGGATTACTAAAAACCTGTTATGACTAGCCCCTAGTAGAGATATATTAAACTCCACTGAGATTTTATGACGACTCATGGCATAGTTACATGTAGGCTGCTGCCGGATATAATGATTAATATAGAGGCTTTCATATTTACCAATACTATTTCGGGGCTCCTCATTAAAACTATAGTATAATGGAATTATTAAGGCCCCTACAGTAGTGACTAACTCCTCTTTTCGGGAAGGATTGGTGCCAATCCCAGACAGAGGAGCTTCAGAGGGAGCTGGAGACCGAGTCTTGGCTTTGTAGAAGACTTCCCTGTTGGGAGAGTTTCTGTATATCGGGGGTTTAGGATTTATAGGGTTTAGGAGTTGAGGGTTTATGGTTTAGGAGTTTAGGGCTTCGTAGGGTTTAGGGCTTAGTCTTGGGGTTTGGGGTCCTCCTGTTTGGTGGTTTCTTTGTATGCGATGTTCGGGCTCAGGGCTTGGAATTCGAAGTCCCATATTTGGGGGCGGGGGGAGTTGAGTCTTCGCAGTGGGACCTTGTTTACGGGTCTGTCTGTTTAGACGAATTCTATAGTAAAGCCCTTCTCATTTATAAAAACGAGATCAAACGTTAGCAAAAACCTTTCAAGCCCCTATAACACCCTGACAGATCCCATAAGAGCTCTATGTGCCACCTTTGCGGTAAAAAGCATCTCTTGCAAGCCCGTTTATGGGACACTTATGAATACCTGATTCTCTCAACCCTAAGCCCTAAACCATTTAGTGATTTCTGGGGCCTTAAATAAGTAGAATAGGGCTTTGGGGCCGATGATACTATAAATTGTAATCCGTATTGGTACTTACCAAGGGCCCCTATAGTACTTCGGTTTGATTTGGGGCTTAATTCTCGGAGCAGGGCTTCAGGGGCTTGCGGGAATTCGGTGTTGACAGCAATGAATCCCAAACGCAAGTGTCGATGTTCGGGCTCAAGACTTGGCTCCAGCGTGAACTCGTTACTACAGTTATCATGGATAACCCTGACAGATTAAATTGCAAACTTTTCAAGCTCCCTAATTATGGCCAAGGAGAAGAAAGCCCAGGAGAAGATGGACGCGGCCTCTCCAAAGAACTATATAGCATTAGGGCTTAGGGGCTTAGGCTTACTATTGCAAGGATTTTTGTTCTGACAAGACTAGAATTGATTAGGAAGGTCTTGTCGTGGGGCTTCCTTGGGCGGAATTCTACTCTGTTCTGGGCAGTAGGGTTTTAGAGCAGTGCTGAGTAGTTTTGAAGAACTACCTGCATGAGAGTTCAGGAGTCCGTTACAGACTCCTTTTCAGGGGTTGTCTCCGGAAGGGTCTGTGAAGGAGCCTTTCCTCAGGAGTTTGTTACATTGCTAGGGTCTACAGGTTTAGGGATGGTTAATGATTAACGGTCTTAGGAGCATATCGGTTTAGGGCTTAGGCTTGGGGTTCGATGATGCTGTCTGTATAGTATGTGGTGAAGCTGTTGATATGAGGTTGGCATCTAGGTTGTCTTGAGGTTGCATGTGAAGTTGGTGAGCCTTAAGCGCGTTCGTCTCTTTCTCTTTATCGCGATTTCTCTTTTTCAGGCACGGAGCAGGGCTAGTTAGCAGGATCACTGCCGATTGCTCCCAAAGTCTCGAGTTGGGTCCAGAACAGCCCGTTACGACCGATCCACCCATGCAACTAGTATTAGTAGTGCAGTAGGGTTCATCAAGATTGGTCTTACTATTTGTATTAGTAAAGTATTTATAAATGTTAGTAACTGCATATGCCAAGACAGCCCAAGGAAATCTACGAGGCCGAGGCAGGCATTGCTTCTGCAGCGGCGCAAATTCAGAAGTTCGTTTCGCAGGCCAGGTCGGGTTTTTGCTGATTAGGACCGAAAGCCCCAAGCCCGTTTGTGCCTTTTGACTCAAGGTAACATGCAAAGCTAAGTTTGACCGTTCCTTAAGGCCCCTGGTAGAACACCCCGAAATTCCCAGTCTAATTGATTAAGTCATCCTTTTATTCCCTGCTGGGTTGCATGGAAACTGTCCTGTTGAAACCCTTCTCTGAGCCCCTGAACCGTGCGTTGAGCATAATGAGCTGTGGCCTTTGTGAGTGGGTTCCTTTAGGTTTCTTCACTCCTCGTCTGATTTGTATATAACGACATACCCACCAATCATTGATGGACCATTCCAATTTACGCAACGCCTGCTTTGAGTTTAGACCCTGGCCCCAAACCCCCAAACACCTTAGGGGGCAAGCTGTCAAGAGTGCTGAGGGATAGTTGTTTGGCTTGGAATTTTTGAGATGGTGCTGCACTCAACAAAACCAGCCTCAAGAACAGAATCTTCAGCTTCAGAGTAGGTTTAATTTTACGAATGTCTTATTATGGAGTGTCCTAATTTGGGGTTGACGGCATGGTAACTTTTGGTTTAGGGTTGACGGTGCCCAATAGTAGTGACACTGCAGTTGCATAGTCGGAATACGTAGGGACCCTGACATGATTGACACTATCCTATTTACAGGGGTTAAAGTGTTTACGCGGTTTGGGGCTTGCGATATATAGGTTTGAAGGGTTTCAACAGAGGGTTTTGGGCGTCGACTGTATACAAGTGAGCTTCTTGTCACCACCCCGCTCCGTTGCAACGAGGTCGCCCGCAGCGATGCCAAGCTCAACGATGCCAAAGAAGTCCGCGACCAGGCCAAGCGGCTGCATATGGAATTTTGAAGGAGGTGCGACCGTTGTGTGGTTTTCACGACGAGTGCGCTGGGAGGCAACAAGCACTCAGGCTCCTGCTAGCTGCAAAACATAGAAACCTTCCGAACCGGAGTCCAAGTGTTCTGCTTCCTATTTCGATGAGTCCAGCATAGTCGGCGTGCAAGGTCGAGGTCTGATTTGGGTTCGATATAGTGTGTTGACCTGCTACTTGTTACAGTCGTTACACGCATGTGGCAACATCGATTTTTGGTTTGCTCGCGGCGAGTACCTTGTGACACCCACGTTGGTCTTTCACATATATTCGCCATCCACTTGTCCCGTCGGCTGACGTGAATAAGCCCTGGACTCCTTGCCCAGCAGATGCCTTGGAAAGTGGCTCTGACGTGCTGTTGCCTCTCTGCAGCAACCCAACGATAAGAATAATTAGTCCTCAGCAGCATGACCATGGTGACGCTGATGATGCTGACATTCATGACGGCGCTGCCCCACAAGTATCCGGAAATGACCATAAATCATGTCGTGACGCTGGGAGCCATTCTGTTGCCTTAACCTCCATCATCCAAGTCATCACCATATCACTAGTCACCATCAATATAATCAGCATCTGCAACCACAGTATCAGAGGCAGTAGCAGCAAGGCTGAGATGCTGGTGTTAATCAGGATGACCCTCATGAACAGTTAGAAATCGCCATGAATCAATCACAGCTCTGTCTTAGCTGAAGGATGAAGATCACTTGTGTTTGCGTTGCTCCCAGACTGCTGCTGCTTTGACGGCCTAAAACGTCCAGAGCCTTTGCGGCCACAGTAGAACTCTAAGTCCACAAAGCCTCCAATCTGAAGAGAGCCCCCTGCGTTGCGCCTTTGTCAGCTGGGCGGGTGGGAACAAAGAGGGCTCAAAGGTGGTCTCAAGAAAGGTGGGGCGTGGTACTATGGGTTTTCATGCAGGAACGTGATACAACAGCTCCAAACCTTGCCCACCGCCGACAGAAGGGCAACAGGTCCACAGGCTTGACAATTTCAGAGGCTTTAGGCTCTTTATTCCATACAGTCCCAAGGAAATTTCCCCTACCCTCTGTAGATCCCTAAACCCTAAACCATCCTAAACCCTAAACCCTAAGCCGATTCCTTCTGCAGGAGAAAACGTCTTTCGAAGACTCGCAGAAATCTCTGTCGGACACGATCAAGCTTCTCGACAAAGCCGGCGAGGCTTCGCCCCCGGGGTTCATAGATCCTAGGGTTCCTTTAAAAGGATCTACAGGGGTACCTTTAAGGGCTTCCTTTAAGGGATCTATAGGGCTTAGGGTTTAGGGCTGATGGACAAAATCCTGCAATGACCCTAAGGACTCTAAACCTTATAAAGGGTAATGCAGGATTTCGTCCATCAACAGTAGTTCCTATTTCGTTTGAGGGAGACCCCTGAAAGGGGACCCTTCTCAACTCTACTTTTTTGGCTCCCTTCAAAGGGACCTGAGTGAGGGTCCTTATCCCGAAGGGTCCCTCTAATCCTAACTCCTAATACTATCGGGGCCTTGATCCTAGTAGTAGAGTAGGTAACCTGAATCCTTAGTGGGTTAGCATAACACCACGTATACTTCCAAACATTAACCTGTGTTTCCCCAGGATTCTGGACAAGTACAGCAACTAAAAGTTTCATCCAGGGTTCAGTATAGTATTTCTGTGTTAGGGACAACAATGGGTATCATGCACTGTTACTAATCATTCCGACTTCGGTTGGCTCATAATTCGACCCTTTAAAAAAATACTTCCCAGGGTTCCTCGTCATACATATAATCTAAGGGTTTGCCGCACACGCTTCTTGCAGATGTCGCATACGTATTCAGGATCACTCTTCAGAGCCCAAAAATAGGAGAAGCAACTTAGGAGTCCTTGTGGCGATAATTGGACAGTATAAGATACCCCGGAAACCTTTCGGCCCCCAATATTAACGAATTGTTCATGGCGACCTCCTCAGAAAGAAGCAGTGCTCACTGGATCCTTGTGGGAGTCACACAAACCTCTATGAAGCAACAGTACCCTGCCCTAAATCTCGCAATTAATCCCAGACTTCCCTAAACTTTTCATCAATTCTACACCCCGCACTGCCCAAAACCCCTCCCCAACCTCCACAGGCAGCACAGCCCACCTACAGTCTCCACTGTATATAGTTCCTCTTTGATTGAACCTATTTTACATTTACGAACCTATAAGGTAACTTAAAAGAAGGAACTACAATGGAGACTTTAGGCAGTCTCCCACCTCTAGGACCCAGAGTAGGCCCTTATTCCCTTTTTAAGGGTTTAGGTTCCCTTATAACCCCCTTTAAACCAAAAAGGGCACCCTTTTTCTTCCTAGGTTACTCTTGGGTCTAGACCTTGTGCAGGTGCTGGCGCAGGAGAAGAAGGAAGCGGCCAAGACCGGGCTCGTGCACCTTCGGCTAATACAGGGAACTCCAGAAAGTTGGAATATATGGTTTCATGGTAGGATACTCTATAATTTATCATAGAAGGGTTAGGATATTAGGATAATCATATTCCAACTTTCTGGCTTTTACCTTAGAGGGGCCAAAATACTTACCAATACTATTTTGGGCTGGGTTCCTTATTATGATTATAGTATAATGGGTCCCAAAACCCTACTCTAGCTAGTTAGGCCCCTATTAATCAGGTGCCCTTTTTGCCCTTTCTATTTCGGGGCCTCCTTGTTAAACCCGAGGAATAAGGGTACTCTGGCACGCCTGCTTTCAAGGGGCCACTGGGGAACCTGAATCAGAGGTCTGAAGTGGTGTAGCGTTGGCACGCTTGAAGTGTGTTAGAACAGGACTGCACGACCCCGATGTACGTTGTACACATATGTGTATATACAAAAATGTATGTGTAGAATGTATATATATATATATATGTATATTAGAAGATGTCGAAGTCTGGGTACGTTCACAAGTCTGAAGCTTTACAGTCGACACTCCACAACTTGAAGCCCTTGATATCAAACTGGCCCGAACAACATGCAGGATGCAGCAGCAACTGCTAAAAAGAGACATATTCTCTGGTAGTAGCTTGGGTTAGGAAGCAAGATGCCTGATTCAGCATATTGGTTCCGTCCATCTGCAGGCAAGTCTCGTCAGAAGAGGCCTGGCAAAAGGGTTTGCGGAACCATCTTCTGAGGTCCTGCGAGTGGTTGGGCTTTGCTGTTGGCGAAGTTGGGTGCAGACCCATTTCGAGTTGAGTACCCTGATGCCTTCAGGTTTAGTGCTCAAGTGTGTGGCTTCACGTACTTGAGCAGGGGGCCGAGGAACGAATATCTAAAACATAGCGAAAAAACTCTGCTTGTCGTGTGGTGTTACGGCTTTGGTCTAACTTGCTGTTCGAGTTTGTGTGACGAACGGTCGCATTTCGGGAGATCCCACCATTTCAACTTGGGCTGGTCTTCCGGCCAAGGGCCTGGGGTCTTTCAGGTTCTGAAATCCACATGTGCCCCAAAGAAACATGCATTCTGTTGCCAGAAGCTTGTATCGAGACGTGGCAAGGGCATATGGCAGTCCTTCAAAACCTTGCCCCGCGTAGCCGAGAATCTCCACATAGGGCCAGATATCTATCGTCTCGACGGACCTGTAGCACAACGCTCATATCACAGCTGCTGGCCTGTTGGTGGATAACCCGGTTGATGATATAAACCCCGCATTACCTTAAAGACCCTGGACCATGGGAATTGTGGTATATTCCTTATTATGGGTAATGCGGGATGTATATCGCGGCCTGAACCCTAAGCCAGTGCCGTGACTTGCGTCCGAAGCTCCCCAGCCCATACCTCCCTAGATCCTGAATCCCATCTTGCATGCCATGAGCCCTATTGCTAGTAGTATTTTTATTCTGTTATTATGTTACTACTGTTGTTATTATCAGTATTATTGTTATGAAGTTGTTATATTACTAGTGGTATTCTTAGGATTAGTAAGCCTTCACCCTGGCTTCCCGTCTCAACAGGCGACGCACGTCTCCGACACGCCCCGCAGCCAAAGAGAAGGGACTAGGGGTGTCCAAGAAACTCCGTGCAATAGCAATGGTGCTGAGACATAGGTTGTTTGAGGGGGAGCGCAAGATCTTGAAAGTTGTGTTTATTCGTGAAGCCCAGTGGCCTAAACCCCCCTGAGGATTTCAAGCTCATGCTGTGCGAGTTTTAGCTGTGAAGATTCAGGAGCAGGCAGTGCTGCCTGGGTTTACGAATACATCTCTGCGAAATCCTCCTGTGATAATGCTAGTAATATTAATATGAATTATAAAATTAATACCACTAATAATGATGATACTTATAAGTATAACATTATTCGCTGTCCCACCCAAACTTTAGGCCAGCCTCCGAACTCGCACATGCTGCCAGGCCCTACAGCCTACGGGCCTCCGTCGAGTCAGTACAAACCTTCCATCTCGCAAGGCCGAATCCCATTCTCCATCGTGAGCCCTGCCTTTAAGGCGTAGCTCCAGATGCCCTCCGTCCTCCTTTATGGCTTTAGGGTTCAGGGTTTATGATTTGAGGTTTCTGTTTTTTTTGCCCGAGCTTCAAGGCTCCTGGCGCTGGCATCGCTCGTGGACGCCACGGCGTTAGCTCCCAGAGCTACCGAGCTGATGGCTTTCGCACAGCTGCAGGGCCAGGCACTGCACAGGAATTTGCGGTTCTGTCTTCAGGGCGTAGGGTATAGGGAAAGCTCAAGCAGGGAGTTTAGGTTGTAGGGGTTAGGGCCAGGGGTTCAAAAGTTTTAGCCCTTGGGGCGTGAGTTTTTGTAGGGAGAGCACCGGCTTTCAGCGCTTTGCTGATGAGTTCGTGTGCGGCACACGCTTGGAAGCCTGGTGCGCAGAAGGGAAGTGCCCAAGATATGAGACGTGATCAAACCATACAAGGCAGCTTGAGCTCCGACCCGAAAATGGCTCACAGAAAGCAGTTTTCGGGTCAGGCATAGCTTTGGGGCTGACGTGCTTCATATGCGTGGAGGGTGCTCTTAAGTCTTGAGCTATTGGTTGTTGCGCCCTTAGGGCCTGCGCTTTTTGAGATGTCTTTGAAACCTGCGGGGCCTTGATTTCGGCCTTCTGTGGATTGAGCAGCATCGGAATACACGATGAGGACCACAGTTTCCCTACATAACCTGAGAACCTTAACATTACAAACTTCATACTGTCTGACCACTGGGACCTGCAGTGCATGGGAGCTACATGAGCAGGAAAATGTTCGTGCTCCGAACGGCGGATATCAGTCGTGGCTTTGTCGCAAAATGTCATGTGTTGGGGTTTAGGCTTTCAGGCATGTGGGGGTTTTGACAACGGTGCAAAAGATTCGGGTCTTTCTGCGGATTTGTTTTAACGGGAGCCCAAATCCGTAGCGACCCAGGCGCAGTGGCGACTTGATCGAGCTCTTGAAAGACATGCAAGACGAGGCTCAACAAATTTGCTATAGAGATTCTAGGGGGCAGAACAGGCAGGCCAGCTGGGAAATTGTCACACATAGCCGCCACCACTGCACCAGGCAAGCTTCGTTGATGATCTTTGCCACTTTCTTTGCTATGGCTTAGGATTACATAAGTGCTGCAGTGGCTCCCAGGGAAGCTCGCTGTCAAAGCTTGATAGTAGGACGGTAAACTTGTATAAGATGCTGCAAGCAGCCCACCAGCGCAAATAGTCGTTGCCAGCGTGCCATAAACTGCAATCGCTTGCTTTGCGCTAAAAGTGCACGTGCTGTTTATTCTGCATATTGCATCGCGAACTGGTGCCACTTCCACACTACCGAACTCAGTCCGTTGGCGCCAAGCCGCTCCAAGAAGCTTGAATTCCACCCTGGAGGGTTGTTTTCGGCGGGACTTCCAGGGGTCCACCACGCGATCCGAGTGTAAGTTTTACACTGACGTTCTCGCCCTGTAGGAGTTGCGGGTCTTGGATCGTCAGAACGGATCACTCTACGAAGCCATGACGAGCAATTGTCTATCACCTCGCACGACCCCTCAGGCAGAGAAGAATCTTGCAGACCTCAGGAAGACCGAGGTGGGAAGCTTTTGCACTAGCTTGCTATTTTTTCCTTTTTTGAGGTGGGTTGGGGTGTCTTGGATCCTACATATATAGCTAAACCAGTGTTTGGATATTATTGTACGTTATATCGGAGCTATAAGAGGATGTCAGTATCAAGTCGGATAGGTCTGCCTCAAGGCTCGCCAAGGATTTCGCGCTTTCCCCAGGTGGTTTCGGGTTTAGGGTTTGGGGTTAGGGTTTATAGGGTTTGGGGTTTAGGGTCTAGGGTTTAGGGTGGACAGAAGCCCTGGGCAAGAGTCTGAACGGTTTGCCTGTCTCTGGATGCAGAGTTTCCGAGTCCCTGCATAGACGATAAGGGAGTTTCCGACAATTAGTTGTGCCTTATTGTGGGATCCTTATACTAAGGATCCCACTATTTAGGGTACTATTAGGGTCCTCTATTTTCGGAAAGTCCCATGTGGGTCTTAGATCGCGAGATCCAGTCCAGGCTTTCGCACGCACTGACCCAAGAATCCTCTTCGAATCTGGTTCGCCCGGATCGAGCTTCCGAGATTCACCAGACACACCACGGTGAGCTTAGTATAGCAAAGCATTCGCATAGACGATTTGGCGAGGCACACAGAAGGACATCCCATGGGATCGGCATGTTCTGAGTTTTCTGCGCCGAAAAGCCGCATAGATGCTCATCGTCATCTCTTCAAGCATAGCGAGACCCTTCACAAGGGCCTAAGAAAAAACTTGCATTGCATTTTCAACAGAGCATGGACATGGGGTGAGAAGTGGAAAGGCAAAAGGTCGCTTCAGAAGATAAATGGCCGCCGATATAAACTCAGATCCTCAACGGAGAGCTCTTGCTTCAGGAACCACCCATTGTCCCTTGCAATACAGTTCATTGGGCTTTGGAGTACCATGCTCTAATATTATATTGGGGCCTGGTACTTAAAAGGGAACCAACTACGAAATAAAAGGGTTTAGGGTTTAGGGTTAAACCCTAAACCCTAAACCCTTAAGTCCAGTTTAACCCCAAAAAAAACCTCCAGAAGCCGGCTTAAAAGAGCGCACGATCGGGCGCACAAGAAAGGAGAACCCCCCCCCCATAAGTCAGGTGGCGTAGTAGGGGTAGGAGTAGGAGTAGGGGTAGGAGTAGGAGTAGGAGTAGGAGTAGGAGTAGTAGTCGCTGTAGTTGTAGTAGTTGTTGTTGTAGGAGTAGTGGTAGTAGTAGTTGTAGCAGTAGCAGCAGTAGTAGTACTAGCAGTAGCAACAGCACGAGCAGTTGTAGGAGTGGCAGTGGTGGAGTTGGGTTTAGACCCAGGACTTTCCATTGCAGACCCCGAATCCAAGACCCCGGTAGTTCCAGACTGACTATTTTTCCTTATTCAGGTCCAGCGTTAAGTACGAAACCAAAGAACTCGACATGGGAGGCGGAGGCGGCCCACACCTTCAAGCTCCTATCGGCCAGGGGGGAAAGGGGGGTGGGGGGACGGGGGAACGAGGCTTTGCCTAAGGATGATACAGTACCAAGCGGTGTTATGGAAAGTTCTAGGGTTGGTGAGGAACTTAAACACTTGTTATCACAGCAAGAGAACCTTTGCTAGTCTTTGTCATTTGCAGCTGGTCCCGGCATTGGTAGACTCAAGTTATGTCCGGTAGCAACAATCAGCACGGGGCAGGTGGGTAAGCTGACCTCATTGTAATGTCGTATTGCTGTTCTGGTGCACAATTATGGGTACTGGACTCAGGGCTAGTTGTCTTGGCTTATTTAAATAGTTTATTGGCATTGCCATGTCAGGACTGTAACGTTCAACTTAGCTCAAGTTACTATAATCGGCAACCATAGTTCGCAATATGGTTAATTTGTATGGCTGCTTGTGTTTCGGCCCTCTGACAGAAGAAGCACTCTCACGTCCAAAGAGTGGATTTGAGCATTGGGGTTGCGTAGCGCTGATGAACCGGTCTTGAATTTTGGCGGAGTCCTTGCGAATTTGTTGTGACCCCTGCATGACATGTCGAGGCATCGCTGAAGCGGCAGCTTGACGACGATCAGTGCCACGGCGGATGTGAGACACGCTTGGCACGAGCGAAGGGCAGAGTAGGCTCGAGAAGGCGTGTCTTCGGAGTGAAGGTGATATTGCAAGGGATCCCCGAAGAACCCCACTTAGATCTGAAGTCTACATACCTAAGCCTGTCAACCTGCACCCGTGAACCCTCCACCCCAACTGTTATGAAGGCCCCCCAAACCCTGGGGATCGAAATAGCCCAAAAGCCTCATATAGTATGGTCTTTGGGCCCAAAAGCCTTAATATATGAGTCCTTAGATCCCTAATCCCTAAAGATCCCTTTAAGGGACCGCCTTATGGATCCCTTAAAAGGGAACCCTATATGAGTCCTTAGATCCCCCCAGGGTAAAAAAGAGACTCGAGGACCAGCCTCGCAGCGGCGCAGAAGGAGCGCACCGCGGGCGAGACCCGTCGGGCCAAGCTCCAGAGTGACAGGAGACCTTTTTCTTGGGATCCAAGGACTCGTATATTAAGGCTTTTGGGCCCAAAGACTAAAGACCATACTATATATGGCTTTTGGGCTATTTTGGTCCCTAGGGTTTGTGGGGGCTTCGATACTGGCTTTATGGAGTTGTAGGTCTTAGGGTGACATGAGACTTGTGGAGGTTTACAGGGGCTCCAGAGTGACAGGAGACCTTCTTCCACAGCGCTTTGTAGCCTATGGGCTCTATGCAGCTTTTCGTACTGTTCATGGATTGCTCATACTCCCGAAAAGCAGGAGACCTTTGTGGGGCTTCGATAGTGGATTTGTGGAGTCTCAGGGTTTAAGGTGACATGAGACCTGTTCAGGTTTACAGGCAATCCTGTAGCGCGCTCTAGGGGATTTATGGATCCTTTTAGAGGGTTTTCTCCGTGATTTTCCAGTGCCATTGCCCCAACGCCAACCAAGCGCTGGTTGCATTGATTCCACTCCCCATCGCTTAAAATGCTTGTTGGGTAGTTGCTCGACGTTCGTTGTCAGCCTGCTAGGAAGATGAGTGTCGTGTCTTCTGGATCAGCCAGCTGTGCATATGTCTGCTGGTCCTTGCGGAATTCTTCGAGATCCGTTGTTGGCTTCGTGTGTTTGCAGACTGGACAGAGCGAAGGTGGAGACCGACCCGTGGCATTTCGCACACCTTTCTTGCCTTTTTGCGCAATGGCTAACTATACCAAAGCGAGGGCATCAAATTGCAATATTAACATGTGACCCGTCGGGCGGGGCACCGCCGATTTCGCGACGGAGGGCGAGGCAAGCGAGGCAAACAATGCCTGGAGTGGCGTGGACAGGTGTGGAGCGCGTTTGCGCGCCTACTCAGCGCAGTTGCACGCGCCATCTTCGAAGAGCAATTCGAGCAGGTAGGTAGGTCTATTTGGGTTTCGGCCACATTGGCAAAGGTGGGCGGCTCGCTCAATTGATGGTAAGAGAAAGTGGCATATTGGCAGCGTGTCGTGTCTACCGCAAAATGCCGGCTACGCTTGAACCTACACCCCACAAGCCTCAAACCCTGAAGCCTTGAAGCTCGGTAAACCTGGAAACCACCATAACTGCCTAGGCCTAGGCCCTCACTCAACCCTGTGGCCCTAGATCCCACTCTTCAGGACCGGAGCAGGGGCCGGCTCGAACAAGGTGCTCGGAGAGGGATTTCCGGAAAGGTTTCGGATAAAGATAACGGTGTGAAGAAGAGTTTGGCAGCTTGTGCTGGGCTCGTGTGGAGGTGATCCCAAGAACTTACTTTAAGCTCTTCGGAGCCTTAGGCCACCCTGCACAGTAGGTTCATGATCCGGGACCAACCCAAACCTTACGGCGATGAATGGCGATAATGAGTTGCGGGTGCTATAGCCGTTTTGCCTATGTCATGTTCGTCGTTCTTATGTCACCCGAAAGTTTCAGGAAACTCACGAGTGGAGGATAAGAAGTAGAAGTAAACTCCATAGGGTTCTTCTTGACTAGAAATTTGGTATAAATCCTTGCGAACTTTTGTCTAGTTCTTTGAGTTCTGAATTCGCATTTGCGGACCGGGGTTTCGAATCTAGGTTTGTTATGTTTCGCTCGTACGCAGCTTGAAAACTAGAAGTCCAAAACAACACCTGTATAGCTGCAGCACAGCGTATGTATGAAACCCGGTCTGGTTGATGACCAGTTGCAGTTTCTTCTGTTACAGACATCTGAAGCCTGAGAAGAGAAATTGAGAAGATGTGGAGGTTGCTCTAAAGGGAGGACCACCGCAACGAAAAGCGGATCCTACCAAGTGCATAGCTCTTCTTGGTACAGACATCTTGACCTCTGCCTTCGACTGGGGAGTTTTTGAAATAGCCCTCTCATCGGTGGGATCATCACCGAAAGGGTTTCGAGCTTAAGATTTTGAGGTTTAGCGGTTAAGGGTTTTAGGGTTTAGGGTTTGCTTTACCAAGTAAGAGCACAGAGTTCTGGGCCATCTGGTCACCAGCTGCACAATTGCTGGTGCATGCCCGGTTGTTCTGTAGAAATGCAGGTGTGGGATTGTTCTACAAGAACCCTATGCGTGACCTCGTGGAGCACATGTCCTAGGACCCAGAGTAGGCCCTTATTCCCTTTTTGAGGGTTTAGGTTCCCTTATAACCCCCTTTAAACCAAAAAGGGCACCCTTTTTCTTCCTAGGTTACTCTTGGGTCTACAAGAACCCTATGCGTGACCTCGTGGAGCACATGTCAGGAATCCCATGAGGTTTCTATAGAACCCGCGAGGCCCTGGTGATGCAGGCTTCTCTACTGGAGCAGCCGCAAGAGCCCGATGACAAAACGGGTGTAAGCACCCTCAGAATTTAAGCGAAACTCAAGGATAGCTACGTTTGTTCTTGATTTTGTCAAAAACTGTGAAGCCTGAATCCTCAAACTCACAAGCCCAAACTCTCAACCCCACAGCCGCCTGCACCGTCACATCCGGACCATCATGTTAAGACCTCACATCCGAAACCCTCAAGCCCTATATGGGAGTTTCCGAAAATAGGGGACCCTAATTTAGTACCCTAATTAGTAGGATCCTTATTATAAGGACCCAAAATAAGGTACCCCTAATTTTCGGAAACTCCTATATCGAAAACCTGGTCCAAGTGAGGTCGGAGAAGCCCTCAGCGCGACTCGGGATGCATGCATGTATCTGGGCCAATCTAGAGGGTTTAGGGGTTAGGGGCTAGAGAGCCTGGTTTCTCGCTCGGATGCGCGAGCACGGGTTAAACTGGGCACAGCTTCCTCTCAGCAGCGTTCCTGAACCGAGTGTTTAGGGTACTTCTTCAAGTGGAGTGTGTGTGTGTACGGATATATCAAGAAGGAGCCCATCATGCAAGTTGTGCAAATGAAAGGCCGGCAAGCAGAACCTCGAAAGGCCCAACCTCGACCTCAAGCTCAACTTAGAAATCTCTCGCGCAGACCCTTCATAGCCACTCGAAATCCCGGCAAATCTCTGAAGACGGTTCAGGGCATAGGTTTTTTTGGTATATCTTGTTTGTAAACCCTTGTAGTGGCCCCTTCAGCAAGACTCAGGCAGGCGGCAGCCGACCAAGAAGCATCAGACACGGGCCGAACGAAGCTTGACATGGGGGTTCGGGGCTTTAGAGGATGGGTTTAGGGTTGGGAGACAGACAGGCGGTTGCTAGGGAGTTTAAGAGGTTTTTAGGGTTTAGGGTCGAGTTGACGATTGAAGGTTCAGGGGTGGGGCCTTACTTGCAGTTGGTGAGCGTGCGATCTTGGGATCCAGTTTTTGTGTCTCTGTTCAGGAACCTGAAACTCATTTAATTATGTTGCCGCGAGGAAAGCAGATCTCCCTGACTGTTTAGGACTTTAGGAAGTTTAGGGTAGCCTGTTCTTCGCAAAGAAGTTGGGGACAGTCTTCTGTGGCCCTGTTGAATTGCCCCCAGAGCTCAAAACCAGAACGCCATCGAGTTTCCGGACATGGCAACCATGGGCTTCAGCGTTCTATCCGGGCGGCTTTCTGAACTTGTGTTCGCCCACATCACACTGATAGTCACACCCCCAAAACGGAGCGTCCAAACATGAACAACCACAGCCTCACGGCTCAGGACAGAGCTCCAGGTGCTAGAAGAGGCTTATGAGGCAATCAAGGGTGCCGCCAGCGAGGCAACTTGGTGCAAGTGGATCGTAGGTTCATCTGCACGCCCGTGAGTTTAAGTTTAAGGTTAAGGCTTACCCTAAGCCCTACGTTCTGTGTTTGGTGCGCGGTTGTTTATGTTAGCTTACAAAAGGTTCTTCAATCTCTGGCATATGTTCTTGAACCTTGCCACGTTCCTTCCAAGCGTCGTTTTTTTACAAGAACCTGCAGCATATAGGAGCCTGAGTAAATAGCCAATAGCAATACAGTAGTACTTTCTAGGGAGTCCCCTGATGTTTATGTTATACGGCCACTACAAACCTAAGGCGTGTTATTCAGGCCGTATGCCAGCATTGTTGGTAAACTCCTACTTGTCAGTCGTCAGATTGAGCAGGAAGAACAAAGCAGGCTCCTTGTTACTCAATCATCCGGTGGCATAATGACCTCTGTCAGAGGATCCTGATCATAGTTGTTAGTAGAGGACGCAACAGTTCTCATTCGGGGACCTACAGGAACGATCACTGCGACAGTGCTGCGGGTTGTCCGCCGAGTTTGCCCATGACTTGCTGGTCTGGAGCCATCTACGTTAAAGGCTCCCGGTCGCGTCCTGCAACTTCTAAGACACCAACAAAAATGAAGAGGCTACTTGTAGCTAGCGGGCCCGATGATCGTACAGTCTGTGAGACTTCCCAAGGTACCGGAAGGTTACCTCGCCTCGTCAGTAAATCAAGGAGAGCCGGAAATTGGAGAATACTAACACCCACAAGCGTGTTGGCTGCCGTAAACCCTAAAGCCTAAACTCTGAACGCCAAACCTCAAACGGCTGGACTTTCTGCAGATTGCACTTAAAGAAAAACTTAAACCCTGAACCGTATAAACCTGAAAGCTCAAAACCACCAGCTCTAAACCCTAAACCTGGCTCTCTTGGAAACCTGGGAGCTCGACGGCTTAAAGCCCGTCTGAAGCTAAGCCCGAGGCCTTCAAATTTCACTTGCACACCCCTCGGGTTTCAGGGCTTAGTTTAGACTTATTTTACGGCCTTAAAAAGAAGGGGTTCTGAGCTTCAAGGCGTAGGGTTTAGGATTCCATCATTCTGCTACTCAGCGAGACCTTGAGTTCAGGACCTTGCGTTTCTGCAGATTGCTTCCCAGACGGGCCGTCGGACCCCGGATGTGAGCAGGTCCGTGCTTCGCATCTACGTAGGGCATGGCTTCGTGGGTGTTTCAGGGGTTTGGAGCTGGTGGCTCGAGCTGTAGAGGATTGAAGATGATTGGGAGGGGGGCAGAGATAAGGGGAGCCGACGAGTTGTTTGAGACGTGGCTTGCACCTTGTTGCACATGAACGTTGGGTCTCCTTGGTCGTGCAGCGCTTTCTCTAAACTCAGGCGTGGTGCAGAAGAGCGCAGGGATGTCTGCCTACACTTGTGGTTCATCCGTCGAACCTGTCCCTTGCATTTGGTTGATACCCTACACCCAAAGGGTCCAAAGTACCGATATAGTAGAATGTAGGGTTTCTATATAAGGAATTACTATTATGATTTGGGGAAGTATTCCCCATAACAGTACATAGGACCCTTTGGGACAGTAGGCCTCCCAAAAAAAAACCCAGGATTCAGAGAGCTGGGACCCCCAGAGCCAAACCCCAAAGCAGATTACCAGCAAAGGGGTTACAACATCCGATCGGGTTTCCCATTCTCCTCGTGGCTCCATATCGCATCCGTGCTCCGGGAAAAAGGGTGCAAGTAGGAAGTCCATGGAGCGGTGGTTTAGGGGTTAGGGCTTTAGGGTTTAGGGGTTTAGGGTTTAGGCTTTAGGCTCTCCCGGCTGCTCCACAAGCATTTCAGAGCCCCTTGAGCCTTGGAGCATCCCAGCATCGTCCAAGCCGTAAGCAGGCCACGTAAGTTAAAAAGGCTAAGTAGTGAGCCGTAGAGGGCCAGCACCGTCGACTCTAAACCGTGGATCTTAGAGGGAATTCGGGAATGGATCCCCATGATAGCCCCTTAGTGGGTCCCTTATAGTAGTCCCTATCCAGCATTCCCCGCCAAGACCCAGAGAGTCTAAACCCTGAAGCCCCGTTTACTAGGTCACTAGGTATCGCTTTGGGATAATGTGTGGCTTCCAGGATTGTTTACTTGACAGCCCCAATATTAAGCAGTTGTAAAGTAACAATTTTGAGGAATGTTGAAATCGACCATTAATTACTACCTTAATCCCGAATTAGTATCGCCCTCTAAACGCTAAAACTCCTTAGACGCTACGCTAAAGGGGGGAGCCATCCCCGCTGCTGGTTTTGCAGGAAGGACGAGACGCTTCGCGCTACCCAGGCGAAGGACGGCACCCGTCGGGTTCAAGGGCCTCGGATTGTAGTAACTTACTTGGAGGCCCAGGAGACTTAGTAAGCAGGTTATAAGTGCAGTTATAAGTATCCTAAATGGAGCTACCCTAGTTATAACCCTACCTATAACCTACTGAAGTAACTTAGTAATCTAGGGACCTGGCCCTTCGTGTAATTAGAGTATTCCGTCGCAGGCTTCCCTGAGATACATTTATTTCATATGTCTTTAATCGGTTTTTGCATTGATGGCCCAAAAACTTACCTTTGGGTAGTAGGGAATGGAAGAATGGTAGTAACAGTAGTTATAATTGTACTCCATTCCTCCATTCCCTACTAACCAAAGGTAAGAAAACCCCGTAGATCCCATTATAAGGAACCCTGTTCCTATAGATCCCTTTAAGGAGCCCTATAGATCCCTTTAAGGAACCATGCCCTACTAGCCAAACTCCTCATTCTTCATCTTGCAGAGCTCTTGCGAGGGTGTTCACCAGCTTCGAAGACTAGGACCTAGAGTAGGCCCTTATTCCCTTTTTTAGGGTTCAGGTTCCCTTATAAGCCCCTTTAAACCAAAAAGGGCACCCTTTTTATTCCTAGGTTACTCTTGGGTCTAGAAGAAGCGACCAGTAGAACCGTGGATCGAACCCTGACCGTGGACTTCCAAACATTGTCAGTTCCCCAATACAGTACCCAACCTTTAAGCTTTTTGGGCTCTTATCGTTTAGTAGTAACCGGAAAGTTCAACCTTGATTTCCGTGGCTGATTGGGGAAGTAAGCATTCTGAACCCAGAATCAGAAGCCGTCTTGCAGCAAAGCAAACTCCGAAACCGGAGGCCGAGAGAGTCGTTGTGGGACTCTTGGGACGCCTTGCCAAGCAGCAACAGCTGCCGATTCTGGCGCAGCTGGTGGGCGGGGAAGGTTTGGGGTTATATCATAATGGGGTTCATAGGTATTTTGATACTGAATACAGGTGCAGAATTTCGCACAATTTACACTTTTGCCGAGCCCCATGTCTGAAGGCCATGCAATATTGGTGTCGGATCACACGTCTACTGCCTTTGTGGCTGCCTTGACAAAGAGAGCCCAGTGCTCTTTACGAAGCCCTCCCGAGGTAAAGGCATTGCCCGCACTTCCCAAAGCCAAACCCCTAAACTCTCGTGCAAACCTAAACCCTAAACCCCAAGGTCAGTAAAATCCTTGAAGGCATGCGGCATAAGGTATACTCCTGGATGAGCAGGCATGGAGTTTTGTGAAGAAAATGTCCTTAGCACACCTTGCCCTGAACTCTCCGCCACAACCCACAAGCTGCGGAATCTTGCGGATGCTCGTATAAGGGTTTAGGGGACTGTATTGGAGTTTAGGTTTGAAGCCTTGCAGGAGAGTACTGGGTTTGGCGGCCGGGTGAAGGTCTTCTAGGGTGAGTTTAAGTAAGGCTTCCGAGTTTTGACAAAAAGGCTTTCTGCGTTGTGGTCTAGGGTCTGTAAAGGAACCATAAATCAGCCCTTGTCACAACCTGAAGACCATCGTAGAGATCTCTGTAAATTCCTACAGAATTCCACAGAACTGGCCGGAAACTTCAGGGCGCGAATCCTTACAGCATGAGGCCGAGGCACTGCAGGTCGGTACTCTTTTTGCTCTGGGTTTTGTGTTGCTACTATCCTTACCATGACGGTTCTCTACTGCTATCACAACCCCCCGCGGCATTAGCTGCCTTTGCTGTGTCGAGGCTGGCAAGGTGTCAGCTGCTTTTGGCACCGAGAAGGCCTTGAAGGGTTGACTTCATTTCAGCTCGGCTTCTAAGGTTTAGGTTTCCAGCGAGACACATCGAGAGCAGACTGGGGTGGGCGGGACTGTATCAAGCTGGCCTTGTTTCACATACCCTAGGGATCTAAGGACCATATATTAAGGCTTTTGGGCCCAAAGACCATACTATATAAGGCTTTTGGGCTATTTTGATCCCTAGGGATAAGGGGCATGTGAGCAACAGCTCCTCAACCGTTGAACGGACACCTGCCCTCATGCCTCGAATGCTGATGGCTGGCCTTCACACCCTCAAGCCTCAGACCTTATCACTGCAGACAGGACCCACTGGCAGCCGCCCGGAAGATGGTTCAAGATCTGATCCTCAAGATGCAGGACCCGTGTGGAACTTCGTGTCAGCACAGTTGTCAGGGTAGTTTCGGCCTTGGCAAAGCATACTATAGATCCCTTATAGTAGCCCGTATAATACCCCTTCAAAGGAACCCCTATGCTAATTATTAAGGCCCCTATAGTAGTCATCCTTATCTGTCCTGATAGCGATGGCTACAGGATGCATAGAAGACGAAGAGCAAGTCCCTGCGCTGATGACCACGGCTGTCAGGAAATGGACTGAAGAGCAGTAACAGCTTGGACAGGAAGGGGCCGAAAACGTACCTAAGCATAAGGGCAAGTCTTTTGTGTATATGGGGGCCTACCAAAGGAATTTCGAAATAATAACCTATGTGTGAGATCCATGTGTTTAGATTATCTTCTGGGTGCTTACAGGCTGATGATGACGGTGTGATGACAACGCCGAATATGATAACGGTGCTGGTGATGCATGGCTGAGTGGTAAACCAAGCTTCATCAGAAGTTGTTGGCGACGGTGGTTGTGGTGGCGACGAGAAATACAAAACATGACGATGATGATGATCAAGAACATGTGGTGATAAAGACACGTATTGCGGCTTTGAAGTTGCCGGTGGTGTCGATATTGCTGAAGATGGCCGGCATGGCCGTGATGAAGGTGGTGGTTATGACCATGCTGTTGTTAGTGGCAAGGTTAAAGAAAATGAGGAGATCATTTCTCGTGGCTGAGTGTGCTGTTACAAATGTGGAAGATGAAAAGTGGGAAGAGGCTCGGGGTTGCGGTGATGACTCAGACGACAATGACGAAGAAAGAAACGGGAGATGACGGTCTGGCATCCTTTCGGTAGCACAGGATAGACATCATGTAAGGATAGCATGCGCGCTCCTTCAGCGTCAGTTCCGGGCTGTCCACCGGCTGAACTGTGATTCCCCCAGCAACTCGCTGCCAGGATCAGATCACTTCGGAAGCAGAAGAGCATGGCTACTGCGAAGCTTCGTTGACCTAGATTCGAGTAGGTCAGTCGGTGCTGATGTGCTTATTCGCGCTTTGAGGGTTGAGGGTTCAGATTTGTATTCCCTACCCGAGTTTAGCAAATCAGCTTCTCGGGGATATGGCCTTTGGTTTCTTCTTGCGCCTGGATTGTTGGTCACAAGACCTCCCACTGACCCAGTCTAGTGCAGAAAGGACTTTCATGAGTTTCAAGCGACATTGACTTCGCCCTCCAGAATTCAAGGTAACTGGCAATCCCAAATCCTAAGTCCTAAGCCCAACCAACTCTGAAGACTAAGATGCAGTCTAAGAAGAGGTTGATGGCATACTGCCGGCCCTCTCAACAGCTAGCCTCATGGGGTTCCATGTTGCCGACACCCTGCGTCTGAAGCTCAGACAAATAACGGGTCCGATAATGAACCCTGAATGGTAGGATCCTTATCCGTTAAAGCAGGCACCCCCCAATACAGGGGCCTACATAAGTACCTATACTATGGTGGGGGTTCCTTGTTATAAGTATAGTATAATGGGCCCCAAAACCCCGCATGTTCTTCGCATCGCAACTGCTGCTTTTTGTGAGGCGGTAGGGCTTAAAGCAAAAATGCTTATGAGCAATCCCTTATCTGAGAATTGGCCGATCCCGAGAATTAAAAAGAAAGGTGCTCCCATACCTTGGATTCTTCAAATTAGCACGATCAAGGACGACATTGCTAATAATCGAGTTTCTCAACAGATTCAGTGTGTCACGCAAATTGCTCTTGAGAGATGGACTGATCTGTCCTCGGACGAAATCAGAGAAGCACTGCCGACCAAACCCGGTCCAATCAAAAGGTTCAAAGCAGCGAGAAATCGTATTACTAAATTTAAGGAGGTTCTTGAAAGATACAAGCAAAATCAGCTTCTTGAAAACACCTTTCCCACGCATTTACTTGAGCCCAAATGGCAAGCATCGGAAGCCTGTGTGTGCTGTCAGAAGTTGTTGAACTTCTCCTCTGAGCCGCATAACCTTACTCGTAGATGTCCTTACGCGAAGGATTTCTCTGTACAAACTCTCGACGATTGGACATTACAATATGACTCGATGCTTAAACGCATTGATGATATCGTCTCTAAACTCAGTTAGGAAGTCAGCTCAAAGATAGCTGAAAGTTCAACGGATGCACAAGTCATCTCCAGCTTCATTCGCACCAGACTCATGTCAGCATCGCCCCAAAACCCTATTCTAATTATTAAGGCCCCTACATTATTCCAACCCTTGCGGCCTCCATCTCAAAGCCTTCTCACCGTAAGCCTCTCAATCCCGGGACACTCGGCTTGGTGTTAAGGGTTTCGGGGTGTAGTTGCTGTTGAAAAGCGTCTTCGGTTTTTCTTTACCAAATGCGGCACTTTTGTCCTAACCTGAGCGTCGGATTCTGAACCCAAATCAATCCCAAACTCCAAATGCTGGATCGCCGACCCCAAACCCTAAACCCCAAAATTTCAAATCCCAAGCCGTAAATTCCCGAACCCACAATCCTACACCCTCAGCCCTGCAGCAAGACCCACATCCCTACGACCCCGAAACCGTTTGAACCCTTTCTTTTGAGAGCTCTGAGGAGAAGGAAACCTCGCGGTCGGAAGCCCGCCACTTTCACTGAGACTTCAGGTTTTCGCAGGGTTTTCGGGTTTTGAGGTTTGTGGATCTAGGGAATCTAGGGTTTAAGGCTTTGGAGGTTTAGGGTTTTGGGGGTGTAGGGGTTTAGGTTTAGAGTCGAGGGCGTTGAAGAGCGGCTTAGGGCTTGAAGGGTATCAATGTGGAGGTGTAGGGTTTTGGTGGGTCTGATCTAGGGTTTAGGGTTTAGGGTCTAGGGTTTCGGTGGATCTGATCTAGGGTTTCATTTCAGGTTTGGGAATTTGAGTGTCTGGGCTTGGTGGGCAGACGGAATATGCATATGCTTGGTGTTTTCGCGCAAAAGCGGCATGTGCAAGTTCGGAAATACGCGCATGCAGATAAAGAAACAAAAAATCATATGGAGATATGTACGCGTTCAATTAGGCAGTTGCTTGGTTGTCGCTGTACGTAATGTGTATCAGGATCGGCTGTAGGGACTCACGCCTTCCTGCAAAGTACCGACACTGTCATGGTAACGGACACTTAGGCTCAACAATGGTGTAAAACTTGTCTACAGTCCATCTACTTATGAAGGGGTGCCATTTCGGGTGTACTTGTACCTTTGCTGTATCTGTTGTTACCCATCTTGCTGGCCCCACTTGCTAACTCAACAGGGCGTTCAAGCGGCCACTCAAATGCTGAACGGAACCACACTTCAGCGTCAGGAGTTGGAGCTTTTTAGCCGGGTTTCCAGAATGCGCGTCTCTTGTTTTTTCTTGGTTTCGGTCTCGCACTTGTAGATAGGTTTGCGTACCCTGGGAAGGTTTACACTTCTCGGCCGTAAGGTGTTTCAGTCGGCCCCGTACAGGACAGCTGGTTGCGAACTACTTCGAGTCGAGTAGACATGAGGATTGGACAAATCGGACAAATACACAGGCCAAACTCTCAAACCGAAACACAAACTTCGCAGTCGGAAGAAGCCTGCCAAGGCGACAGTGAACAGAAACTTAGACACGAGCCCTTCAAAACTCCAAGTCCCAGTTGGCGGCTCATTGGGTGGAACATTTCTGGTGCAAAGCGGTCCAGTTCGCCCATACCTTAGGCAGCAGGGACATAATGCTGGTAAGGTAACTGGGTCCTCAAAGTACAGACTGCTCAGGTAACTGGAAGCACGAGGTTATACTATAGGGGCCTTAACAATTACCAATACTATTTTGGGGGTTCCTATCATATTTATAGTACAGTGGGCCCCAAACCCCTATTCTAATTACTAAGGTCCCTATATTATAGATCCCTTATAGTAGCCCTGATAATACCCCTTTAAAGGAGCCCCTATGCTAATTATAAAGGCCCCTATGGTAGTCATCCTTATCTTCTTCCTCGCAGCGGCTCTTTTTCTTCTGCCAAGCTGATTACTATAGGGTCCTGAATAATTAGAATAGGGGTTGGGGGCCTAGTCTAAGGCAATTATAAAAAGGAACCACCAAAGTAGTATATATAGGTAATTATTAAGGCCCCTACATCACGCAGTCCAAGGTATCAGTTCGCTGAAGACCAGCATCAAGACGCTCAGCACTGCAACTTGCTGATCAATATTGAGACGTCCCGGGTTTTTGCACAGATGCATCTTCGATGTGCTTGTTGTGTTTAGGGTTCCTGGCTTCGGAAGCATACTTGCGTGGCTTAAAAGCTGCCGCTGGAAGCCCCAAACCATCCCAAATCTAATCCGACTCACCCTGTCACCTAGATTAGGAGTGTAGTGACAATCTACATGCCCCGTCGGCCTGTGAAACTGGGCTAAGGTTTTTTTTGGCAAAGTTTTGCAGCCGCTCCGATGCTCCTCACAACTGTTTGAACGATACTATCCGGTGATCGATGCTATAGAAACAGCTCCAGGGTTCCCACCCCAACACCATGGACAGTTCCTGATTATACCGCCGGTACGAAATGTCTGACAAACACGAAAACCTGGATGCTGTCGTGCACGATCTTTAGAGCACCTTACGAAGTCCACAACTCCTCACAGTGCGTGATGTAAGGCACTTGCAAAATCCGCATGGAACCCTGGATAAAGCCCATGAAACCATGGTGCAACCGTATCCCCTTAAGCCAACTTTTTGTGCCCATGAGGAGATTGACCAAGCCAGCTCAACCGCTGCGGTGCTCGGGGCGGCCATCGACAAGGAACGCGAGGCCGTCGCTGGAAACGTGGTTCTACTCTGTTCTATGCTTTTGTTTTGGGGGAAGGGGGGCAGTGTTTTAGGGTCTATATGGCTTTTGGAGCTTTAGCATGTAACGTCTAGTGAGGGCTAGGCACACAGGCTTCCACATGGAACGAACGCAATGTGTCTGCAGCAAGCAGCAAATCCTCACACCCAAAGCAACAGCTTAAGATCCAAATCCTTCTTGTCCGGAAGCGGCCTCCTGAAGATAAAGTGCCAACAGCTTCGCCTTGACTGTGAGTGCTGGTACTGATCTTGCAAGCATGTGCTGTTGCCATTGCCAGCAAACCCTCAAACTCTTCGCGGTCGCGAGTGTGAGAGTCGAAAGTCTAAGTCATAGACCTTACACCCGGAGCCATGGACACCCTAACATCCGAAACCCGGAACGCCCTAAACACCTAAACACCCGAAGCTTTGGGCACGGAACCCGCAAACAGTGTCACACCGACTCGCACCTGCTGAACCTTTCCCGAGTTATGAGGGAGTTTCCGAAAATTAGGTATACCTTATTATGGGGTACTTAAAAGAAGGATCCTACAATTTCGGGGTACTATATTAGGGTCCCCTATTTTCGGGAACCCCCATGAGAGCGTAAATCCAAGCTCCGAGAGATTTGCAGGAGCTCTCGGCGTTGGCCAAGCAGCAGGTGAGCATGACCGGCGACTGGTCGAAGTTTAGCTGGGCTTTGGAGCACCATACTTTAATACTTTTTTCTTAAAGGAGCCATTATGAAATAAAAGTTTATACTTTTTCTCCCTGGTTACTCAAAAGCCCAGTTAAGACACTCGGGGCTTCGGGCTTAGCTGAGCGAAATACATATACTGGAAGGTCTCGATGAGAATGCGCAGCATATTACTAGTCGGATCTTGAGCTTTGAATACCATGTTATAGTACATCTTTGTTTCATCGGGCACAGATTTTATGGGCTTAGAGAAATCCTGTCTTCTACTGGTACCGAAACAGCGTACTAGTTACTGGTCCATCTGGCTTTTATGGGAACCCGAAAGCCTCAGACTCTCAACCCCAGAAGCCGTAAAACCCCCAGCCCCCTCAACTCCAAGAGTACGGCCGAGTTTAGGGTTTAGGGCATGGAAAATCACGCTTAGAGACGGGGGTGAGAGCGAAGGGAAAGAAACAACCAGGCGGCAGCGTGCGTCCGCAACCCTAAATCCAAAGCCATGGGTCTCAAATCCCTGGGACCTCGCACCCCCCAAACCTTGACATCGCAGAACCACGCAACTGAAAAAGCGATGCTGTAGGGACCCGATAGAGCTTAAAGCTCAAAGCTAAAGCCAAGCCGTCTTAGCATGAACGCCATACCCCGAGAGGTTCGGAGCCCTACAGGAAACCCATCCCCAAAGGAACCCTTACAGGAAGAGGAACCCCATAAACCCTGAAAGAAGCCTTAAACTAAGCTCAGGCTCCATGGACAGCCTCAAGAAGAACACCGAGTCTTCCAAGGCTGAGCTGCAGCAGGGCCTTCAGGCAGTGCTTGGCCTCGGATGGGTTTCGGGTCGGTGGAGGGCTCTAAGTTTGCGTGTTCAGGGTTTAGGGCTTCGGCTCTAAGGCTTGGGGAGTTTATACGGGTTGAGGGGTTCAAGCGTTTCGAGCAGGGTTTTGTATAGAGCTGTGAATCGGGTCTGGGCGAAGGGTGTCATGGGTCATAAGCACCTTGAGGAGGGGGTTCTCCCAATTCCACTTCGGTTTCGAAGCTGCCTCGCAGGAGCCTTCAGAGACGGTATGGCCTTATATGGCCCTACAGAGCGCGCAACGAGAGCACAGCTGGTGATATGCGTCCTTAACGTTACTACCAGATGTGCTTTCTGACCCAAGGCCTTAGTTACTTAGTTCGAATATCAAATCTTTATGTTGTGGGTGTCTCAGCGCTCCGTCCTGTGTATACTACCGCGGACTCGTTCGGATGTCATAGAGAGCATTGGCAGCTTCAGGTAGGTTGGTTGAGGCTGTTGCGGTGGTAGCTGCAGCAGATGTAGCTTCAAGGAGATATAACTTCAACAGCTGGTGCTGTTGCGGCTGTTGTTGCTATTGTTGCCGTCCATGAGGGGTGCTCCGGTGTTCTTGTTGATGGTTCCATGATGGCTATGACAAGACTCCTGATGACTACCGCCAGCATGATGCTGGCGTTGCCGCTTCTGAGAAGATCCCCGGGCTTAAGCTCCACTTCAACCCGAGCGCCAAGCCGAGGTGCGTTTTGTCATGGACAAGCTCAAGACGTTCTATGGCCAAGGCCCCAGTACCAACAGGGGCAGAGTCCAGAGAAAGCAAGCCTTTTGGGTGCAGGACTTGATCAACTGTTCTTTGTTGAACATCGCGGCCTCTTGGCAGACGAGGTTCAAGGCACCTGGAACCAAGAAACAGCCCCCGAATGATTGAACACGTCTCGAAGTCCATGAAGTCGAGAACCAGTGTCTGGACCTGCTCGATTTGCAAGCTGAGGCTCGAAGCAGTCGCTTCTGCAGGAGGCCGTCGGTTTCGAGAACCGAGTTTCCAAAAAGTCTACTGTAGGGTGGCTTGTGTCGATGGGGTTGGGCCGTGGTCGGGTGTGTAGAATGATATGTATTATATATATATATATATATGTATATAAGCCCCCATGCATGTTATGATTTCTCATCCAAGACACAAGTCCTCAAAAGGTTCGCGCAGTCCAACAGCCAGTCTCTAGATGCCATGCTAGACAGGCACCTTCCGTAATCAACACCTGGGCCACCTGGGAGTTTCCGAAAATTAGGGGTACCTTATTCTGGGGTCCTCGTAGTAAGGATCCGACTATTACTGTATTAGGGTCCCCTATTTAATTTTCGGAAACTCCTATCTTGTTGAATACCCAGCGCACCTTCGAAAGTGTCCTACGACTGCAGGCTACCTGAGTGACGCGGCAGAGCACACTTGATGCAGTTTGCGAGCTTACTGTAGAATGCCGAAAGTCGCCACGTGGCTAAAGCTAATGCCTAGAATGCACCTTAATTCCGATGTTGCCAGTGGCACCCTATTTCTGGATTCCTTGCTGTTGCTGTTGGTACTGGACCCCCAAACGTGGACTTGTTCAGGGCTGGATGCTGGCCCTTTGTCTTGAGTTGGGTTTGACCAGCGCAGAATCAAAAGGAATCTCAAACTGTTTGCTGCTGCAGGTCGCTGAGCCGGTGCTGGCAGATGCGAAGCCCATCCGGCGAAAGGACTGCCGGTCGCCAACCCCCAGACTAAGCTCCCTGTGAGGGAGGTAGAGATTTACGGAATAGAGCACAAGAAAAAATCTGATCGGGCGCAAACTATTTGCTGATTCTTTCTGGGACACCTGTGTGCTAAATTCAACAACAACTCTAAGGCCTTCGGAGGCTTCGGGAAGAGGCGAGGTGGGTCTCAGGGCCACAGGGTTTCCGAACACTTCAAGCCATCCCCACGTTGCACAAGCCTTCGCTCCGATACACTGAAACGCCCCCCAAGTCCGAATCCTAGCGCAGGCCCGGAAGCCTTGCAGTGGGAGCTTTCGGACAAAACAGCAAAACGGCTTTCGACTCCAAGTGCGGATCGCCAAGCGTCGTTAAAAGCCACAGAGATCAGAGGAGGTGGCGCTGATGGCCGAGTCCATGGGCCTGGATACGCCTACGGAGGCGACAGAGGATCCGGAGGCCACGGAAGGGCGGGAGCCGTTTTATCGTTTTCGGGATTGCTAGAAACCCTAGGCCGAAAGAGCATAACGTGCAAAAAGCCATGGTGCGAGGCAGGTACTACCACCAGTGCCAAGGACGTCAGAGTTTCCGGAGAAAGCAAAATTTCTCGATGACCAGTAATTGAGGCTGCAAGGGCTGTCTACAGTAGCGGTCATCAGCCTGAGCTTCTCATTCTGTTTCTCCCATGAGCAAAAGGAAGGGCTCATACAACAGCCAACTATCGCGCGAAGGCGGCTGCCGCCATCAGCGACATGCCTGCATCGACGACCGAAGCGGCTTTGCCGACAAGCGCGGCGGAGGCGGAGGATGAGGTGCGCTTGAGACCTTCATGCATGGGCTGGGCTGAAGTGGTATGAGGCTTTGCGATGTGCACCTTCCGCATGCTTCGGAGCAAGTCACTATTGCCGATTCACACAATTGTAGTTTCGTCTGGGCTTCTGGGATGTAGCGTCGGCGGTAGGAGATGGGGTGCATGCGGGGGGGGGGGGGGAGCGCCAACAGCAGAATAGAGTGGTCGCCCAAGCCGTCTTCAAGCCGCCGGTTTGCGCAAACCCCCGCAGCAGCAGCAAAACCACTCCCAGAGAGCCCAATACCATTTCGTTAAGGACTATATATGTCTTAAATGATATAGGGGTTCATATTATGGCTTAAGCTATAGTCTTTAATTAAGGGGTATTGGGCTCTCCGGGCTGAGTCTCTGAGACAGGCTCAGCGGCTCTTTAAAGGCTCAAGCCTGACACTCTCAACTCTGGAACTTCCGAGAAAAGAGTTCGCTCACTTCGGTTTAGGGTTTAGGGTTTAGGGTTTAGGGTTTAGGGTTGTTCCTTAGACGTGAGTGGTTTCACTGTTCTTATGCTGACTCTGACTTCTGGCTGCTCGAATGCTGCCGTGACTGCTACTGATCTGGTCGTGGGCAGGTTTATCCGCATGCCTACTGGCAGAGCTGTTACTTTCGTGTTGCCGGTGGGATGGCAGTGATATGTTGACACTTCTGATGCTTGTCATTGTTGCTGCTCTGGTGGTTGTGCTGGTGCTGCTAATGGCCCTGCCGGTCTGCAGCTGCTGACGCGGCTGCTGCTTTGCTGCTGTTGCCGTCTTGGTCGTCATAGACGCTTCTGCGGAACATGGAGACAGTTTTCCGTTGTTTCTACAATCCGGATTGTGACCGTATACACGGCATCATGATCAGTGTCTGCTTCATGTCCCGATCGCTACTATGCTTTTCTTGGAGAGCCATTCTGCAGGTGTCCCTTGACGAGAGGGCGGCCCAGGCGGTTGCTGCTCTCCAGGCGATGTTCGCGATTTAGATTTTGGACCAGGCTTAAACCCTAAAGCGCTAAACCCCTGAACCCTAACCCCAGGGGGTGATGCAGATGAGATGCCTGCTATGTTCCTTTTAGTTGCTGGGTAGGCCTTTGGGATATTTCATATTTCCCTTATTGGGCTTAATAGGACCCTGTCGACGAATATTTTTCAGAGGCTTTCGAGGCCAACCTATATAGATTGTCTACTGTAAGTAATGTCTGTTCTAAGCGAGGCGGCGACCAACGAGCCCGGGGAGCTGTTTTCAGTAGAACGCCTTGCAACTAGGAAGTCAAGAAACGGAGCATGCATTGCGAATTCTGAACAGAAATCTGGTTGTCTGCTAATCAATGTCCCCTAAACCCTAAACCCAAAACCCTATACCCTAAACCCTAAACCCTGCCACCTGGCAGGTCACAGCCCTGGTGCCCCCGCCGCCAGCACCCAAGCAGCACGCGCCGAGCATCAGCTCGGGGACGTACCCTGGCAGGGAGAGCTGGGATTGTGATGTCTGGGTAGTTCTCTAAATTACACAGACTTCTTTCTGGGTCCCCTAAACGAGTACGGCACCCTTACAAAAAGACCCGGAAAGGGACCCTAAGTTAGAGAAATACCCATGTCAAGGTTTGAAATTGGCCATTACCTCCCCGTTTTTGCTCCACGAAAGCACTATCATATGGGAGTTTCCGAAAATGAGGGGTACCTTATTTTGGGGTCCTTATAACAAGGATCCTACTATTTAGGGTGCTATATAAGGGTCCCTCATTTTCGGAAACTCCCATATCGGCCAGGGCCCTCTGTCCTGCAAGGGTTTGGGGTTACATCGAGCCAAAATCCTGCTGCACCCTGCAATCTGTAGTTCGCGCCGCGAGTGCAGCTCTTAGAGTCTTAGAGGACGAAATCGGTAGAAGCTTACCGCTTGGCTTTCGGTGCAGGTTTCAGAACACTCCTTATTGAAATTCAGGGAGTGTGTTACTGGGGACCCAAGAAGCACATAAGCATTAGCATTTTGTAGGGAGACCCCCCCCCCCACATTCGGCTTCTTTATACGGTGTGTATATGGGCTATCCCTGTCCTAATTTTGCTTATATGCTTTTCGGGGGCCCTTCGTTAGGATCCCTACAGTCTTGAACTTCTGAGGGTTCTACGTGGATCAATTCTCTTAACAGGGGTTGACAACCGAAGCTTTGAATGCAGAGTCCTCCATGCACCAAGGAGCTGCTGTGGTCGCCTGGCCTGATCCAACGAACCTAAGCCCTAAGCGCGTAAGCTAATTCCTCATCATAGATACCCTGTGTTGCTTCTTTGTGTACTGACAGCCTCAGCTTGGCCCAGGAGCATCATCCAGGTGCTTGAGCAACTTTGTCAGCACCTGTGGGGCCAGGAGTGCAGCGTTTTCCAGAGGATCGAAAGTCTGGGGCTTTAGGCTCCCAAGGAGAAGTTATATTGATGGCATCATGCTTCCTTTCTTCAAGCGCAAGCTTCCCCGTGAGAAGCAGATGGTGTAGTTTACCATATCGGCGATTGAAGTTACATGCTGGTTTAGGCGCATCGGTGTTTCTTCGCACTGTCTTAGTCTTGCTCGGGGTTCCTGCGACGGGTAAAAGTACTCCCACCGATGGCAACGGCCCTGCCTCGATGCTTCGGAAACTTCGAAGCAGCTCGAGGCTCTAGCTTCCTCTGTTGCTTGCTAAGGTTTCCAAACTGTGCGAGGCCCCCCCGATCCTGATTCCAACATGCCGTATACGGAGTCCTCGGTTCATGTATTCTATAATGAGGACGAACAACTTATCATAATTTTCATTAGCAGTCAAAGCAACAAGAGTGGCATTTAAATTTAAAAGCTAGTGCTGTTCATCGTAACGAAGCATACTACTAGACCACATCAGGCTGTGTGAGTCGGAACTGGCCAAGAACTTGGCGCAGCTAGACACGCAGGCCTTCCGGGCCAAAGGGTTCGAGCAAGTTGTTCGGAATTGGGATTCTGGGTCCCAAAGACCCTAATACAGTTTGCCAAGCAGCCAAGTTCAACTTGTAAGCCCAAACAGAAACCCCCGGCAAAATTGAGAGGGGTCGCAAACATAGTGGGAATCTCACTATAATTCCCGGTATGGGCACTGAAAACCGAGTTGTTTTGTGCACTTGATCCCAACGGCAAGCGGAAGGGGGCCCCGTGTTGGTGCGCCTCATAATTAGGATCCGCACGTCAGGCCCAGGGCCCGGGTCAGACTCAATCCATGGCACAGGGGCGTAGAGATCTTGACCCCGGGCTTTCACCTTTGGTACAGTATGCCTTGAGATTCCCTGAGAAGTAGTACAGAGATATAAGGCCTGAGTGCTTTTGTGGGTCTCCAGATGAATGAAGTCCTAAATGCTGCCTTGGGAGATTTCACTTCTGGCATCACAGGCCGGTGATGAGGAAACCGAGCAGAGAGAATTACTCAAGCAGCCACAGGGCTGCAGTCAGCTGCTGCATTTGGGAGTTGGTCTTGTGTTCTGACAGAGGTGCTGGCAATGAGCAGGCTGATCAACCACCCGTCCACTTGTGTTTGTAAGTGTGCAGATGTGCATTGACAGGTAAACTTGCATGATTGAGTTCATACACATATGCGAGTTCATGCACATATACAAACACACATACAGGTTGTGACGGTTCAAGCTGTACTGCCAGAGCGCAAATCAGCAGTCCCTGGCATACGGCCTGACATGGGTATGTGAAAAGGCCTGGGTAGATTGATCGAATCTAGTCATGTGTGGAGTATCTTTCTTTTAAGCATCTTTCGGCTATGACCTCGGTGGCGCGACATGCATGCATAGCCGCATCGCAGTTGTGCACTCGGCAAGTCTGCTGCTATTAAGCTCATTAGATGACATACACGCGGCGTTTGAACCATTTTGGGGAAACGAAGTCGGTGGTGCGACACATGGCATATGCGTGTCTGTGCACCTTTCGGAATCGAAATCGGTGGTGCCACATGCATGGCTTGGTAGCGGCTGTGGGCCGGGAATGTCCGACGAAGCCCCGAAGCAAAATGCATTGCCCCCACATACATACATGCATACATACATACTGCAGCCATACATGAATACATGCATACATATACATGCACATACACGTGCATTTGTACATGTACATTACTCACATATGTATACTACATACATGTGCATTTCCGTATCAAAACATAAACATATTGTTACATCCACATCCATACGTACATGTGTACATAGCTACATATGTACATACATACATGCCCACATACATACGCAAATATTCGTGCATGCATGCGTGCACACGGATGGATGGGTGGGTGGGTGCAGGCGACAATGAGGGAGTATTCAACTACCTGCCTGCATGCATGGTGGATGGACGAGATGTGTGCGCCATTGTTGTGGTACATCTACCACTATACTCGCCAACATGTATGTATGCATGCATGCATGCATGCAGGTATGTATGTACTTATGGATGTGAACACATATGTACCTGCATGTGTGCATGTGTATACACCTGTATAAGCCTATATATATATATATATATACATGTATACAGGTTGATAGATAGATCGTGTGTGTGTGTGTGTGTGTGTGTGCGTGTGTCTGCAAGTGTTGGTGTGCATGGGCGTATACCCGAATGCTGCGTGCAGGTGCGTGTTATCCAGAAGCTTATACATGTAGATTGACTGACAAGTGCCTTCAGGTCATTGAAAACTGTTCTGCAAATGTAGGTATGCCGGAATATGTCCAGAGTAGCGCCCCAGTTGTTGGCTCTTCGGGGGCTCTTGAGATCCTGACTGGAGTTCAGATGCATAGCTCCGTGAAAAGCAACAGTCATCGCCCCCCATGCCATGCTCTGGACTAACGCCACGACGGGGCCCTGCCACTTCTGGTTCAACCAGGGCACTGCTCGCGCAAACAAAGTCCTGGATATATATAGTTACCCGACATGGCCTCTTACAGTGAAAACCGGCTTCCTCTCAGGAGCATGATCTTGCAGAAGCAGAAGGACTCTTGCGCACGAGTGCGAGTATGGGTGCAGAGTAAAATGGTACATCCTAAACGCGACGCGTCCGCGTCCACAAGACCTGAAGCTTGGCCCGAGCCCCGCCATAGCAGATACAAGAACGCGTCTTTGGAACCCAAGCCAAGTACACCAAGGAGGTACCCAGGGGCCCCAAAGTAGTTCCTTTTTGGGTAGTATATTAGAGTCCCTAACCAAAAAAGAGGACACACCCAAAAGGGAACTACTTTGGGGCCCCTGGGTAAAGAGTCGACATGCCCCCTAAACCCTAAACCCCTAGACCCTAAACCCTCCTGCGTGAGGAGCTCGATGTCGAGCGCAACACACGTGAGGTTAAGGCCGCCGACAACGAGGTCCGCAGGGTTTTCCCAGAGAGCCCAACATACCCCTTAATTAAGGAATATTCCTAGGGTTCCTTTAAGGGATCTTTTTAAGGGATCTATGGGGTTTAGGGTTTAAGGGATTCTAATACCCCTTAATTAAGGAATATTGCTTAAATTATATAGGGGTTCATATGATGATTTAAGCCATATTCCTTAATTTAGGGGTATTGGGCTCTCAGGGTTTTCAGGACATTCAAAGCCGCAGATGTGCGCCTGCCGGCCTATTCGTTCCTGTGCGAAGGGCACAGCCTGGTGCAGTGGAATCGGGAATGAAATTTTGCAATGGGTTAAGGGTTTTGCAGGTTGAAGTCGCCCTACAAACCCTGAAGCCCTAAAAGTCTAAACCCCGCAACCCTCGCACCGCAAACCACTAGAACCCCAAACGACAAGGTCCGTGGATCCTCAGACACTCAGACAATACGCACGTCAAGATGCGGGCAACAAATCACGAGAAAGACGGCCACCTAGATAATCAGAAAAAGAGAGATAGTAAGATATCACATATGAAAGCTCGGGTTTAGGGTTTATGGTCCCTGAACCATGTAATCTACACTAAGCCATGAGCCCCAAAGACAAGGTCCGGCGCCTGAAGGCTGACCTTGAAGGGGCCAAGAACGAACTGGAGCCCTTGGAAGAGACCCTAGGCTTAATAATATTAACATGATAATTAAAAAACTTTAATATTAACATAATAATTAAAAAACTATAATATTAACATAATAATTACAAAAACTATTCATGGAACTTTATAATGCACTAGAGAATATAATATAACTGAAATAAAAGGCTTCAAAGGGTTCTAAGGCAGGGGGCCTGCTATAGCGAAACATTGCTCTCGGGTACAACACTGATATCTTCAGACGACTTCGAGCTACAAGGGCTTTATGTTTTTTTTGAGGGTTGATTCTGCTGGGTTATAGAGTGTTTGCGGGGAGAGTATTGGAAGAGACAGGCCCCACCCCATGGCTTAGAATGTTTGGGCTATAGCTTCGGGGTCAGTGTTGCATTTTTTGTTTGTTTCAGGGTGGGCTTCAGGATTTTGTGCTTTGAGCCTGCGGGATAAGTTTGCGATTGATCATGTGTCTCTGAGTCTCTCTACTGGCAAGTTTGCCAAATGGGCATGATCAGCAACGAGCCAGCTGACATCATTTTCGTTCTTATGAAGGACACGATGCTAGTGTTTGCGTGTTGGCAGTCTAGTGCGTTTGCGCTTGGGGGCTTCGGGGGCTCATGCTTCAAGACTTATATATAACCAAGCCTTAAGCACGCAGGTGTTCGCTTTCATGCTGAATTCCTGTGCCACACATGCTAGTTTTACGACCATCATTCTGTTAATTACAGGCTTTGGGTTCTTCATGTCATGACAAGATTGCGTAGTTAGCGTCCTACGCGCATAGAATCCGATAGAAGGAACCCGGAACACAAAAGCTCGTTCGGCTTGGGTTGGGTGCCTGTGAGTTCCGGAACACCCAATATCAACTGTGAGCTGAAGCGGAATGATACTGATACGAATCACGCACGCCATCATGGCAAAACAGTAGACATCACTGTAACGACAAGAAGCTAACAGTTTGATATAGCTTGACCATCTCCAATGTTAACTCTCCGTCGCGGACACGTGAAGTGACCTTACGTGAAGGGACCTATGCCTAGCAAGTAATGTTGTGAATGGACCTTGTAGACTTATAGGCACTATGAAGCGGGTTCTCCTCATCATGACCTTATTGCCCTTGTGACTCAGTCACCTGAGCCTCCAAGTATAGACCCTCCGAGGTACTACGAACAAGTGAAACAGCGCTGCGTGAAGAAAGTTACTCGCGAAGACATCATGAAGAAACGGCAGCGGGAGATTGAAGGCAAGCAGAAGCTGGGTTTCGTGTCTAGGGTTTGAGGCTGTTCCCAGTGGTTTTCTGTGTTTCAGCAGAGTCTTGTGACAGGACGTATGTTAATCGGAGCCTTGATAGAGAACACAATCCGTGTACTTTTATTTACTTCCACCACTGAAGTGGTAATATGCAGCGAAAAGCCGTTACTCTCTTCGGGCTCTAGCCGGGCACAATACCACACAAGCCCGACAACACCCAACAAAGCTTCCAGAAGAGTCAAACAAACTCAGGACCCCAAAACCCCAAAGAACTAAGAACCTAAAACTCAATTCGAGCGGAGAGGCTTGAAGGAAGCTCTGGCGGTGCTGGAGGGCGAAACCGGCTTGGTGCCCTCGCTTTTGGAATTAGGCGTAGGGGCCTTTGAGGCCCTTCCTGCAGCCTGGGGTTTAGGGTTTATTGGTTAGGGTTTAGGGGTTAGGGGTTAGGGGTTAGGGTTTAGGGGTTAGGGTATAATTATAGGGGTTAGGTTTTAGGGGTTAGGGTATAGGGTTTAGGGTTTAGGGGTTAGGGTTTAGGGGTTAGGGTTTAGGGTTTAGGGGTTAGGGTTTAGGGGTTAGGGTTTAAGTTTAGGGCTAAAGACCTACTGTACATGTTTTTGGGGTCCCTGACGACACGAGGCCTTCATACAGTCCCTTGAAGAAGAGAGGTTTTTCTGTTGGCCATAGCAGGCTTCAAAGGTTTAGGGCGTCGGGTTTGCGCAACCCTACACCCTAAACTCCGAGCCCGCTATGCATGTGGGCTCGTCCTAGAAAGCATCCGGGAGGGAGACAGCCCTGAATCTTGAGTATTGGAGTCCTTGCTCCGCGTGTCCCTAAGGAAACATGATGTCCCAGCGAGGTGTTTTATGTTCCATCCATATTGGGCTTTCGAAAATGCTGACTTGTTTCCATCTCTAGGGGATGAGATTAGGAAAGATCCTGCTAAAGAGACATCTGGGGTCTGCATTAGGGTCCTCTGAAAACAAACCATTCAGCAGAAGATCTTCGGCATGGAGCAGCAAGATTTGTTGTGCCTGTGCGGCTCGGTGGTCATTCCTGTGTGTCGACAAGGTAAGTTTCCTGGGGGGTGAGGGGGGCACAAGTGTTAAAAGGGTTTTATACGTTGTCAATGGCTGCGTGTTCAAGCCACGGCTGTAGCAATTTGAGTGACTTATTAAGTTGTTTTCTTGTCAATGTTGCCCATCACACTCATGCTGAGGGAGCTAGGGTATATCCGATCACATCAGTTTAATCAGTTTACTAAAGATGCTTGGATCCTCCACACGGAAAACTGGTTGGAACTGTCTCATCCTCCTCCTCGGAGCAAGCCTGCATCCATGGTGAGGACCTACGAGGAAGACATCCATGCTCTTACGTTCGTCCATGTTTGTGTTTATACAGCTTATGCCAAGAAAGAAAAAGCAGATGTTGTTGAGTTATGTAGTACAGTAGAAGCCAGAAAGTTGGAATATTATTATCGTAACCCCTTTAAGGTAAATTATAGGGGATCCTACCATCAATCCATATTCCAACTTTCTGGAGTTCCCTCTACGTTGTTGGGGGAGAGTACAGGTCGGAGGCTCCTACCTATCTGGAGATTTCAACTGCGCTTCTGTGCTTTCGCGCTTACTGGGTGTTCCTGGAATAGTCGCTCTAGGGCAACAGCACAGACTATGGATGGATGCCTGGGTTTCTGGAGAGAAGATACCTCACTGATCAACCGCAAACCATCTCCAATACTTGCTCGGTATTGCTTGCCACTGCGCTTCACACGTCCAATGCAGGCCAAGCATGCTCCGGCAAAAGCCTTCGACATGAAGTCAAGAGTGCGGTCTTGTGCTGGTCCGGTTGAGACTCTGGTCTCGTAAAGATGCTTCAAAGGTCATTGTTAGCTTTTAAGTATATATTTGAAATGGGGCTAGCCTAATCACGGTCAGAACCTTATGCGCCAAGAAGAAAGCGTCCCAAACTCCGGAAAGGTGCAACTTCGCACGCAGCGCGTGACGTCCTTTCTGCAGCGCCGCATGGAGCACGACTGATTCCTGGGCTCTTATGGCCAGCAGTAGAAGTCTGAAGTCTACCGTCTCTCACATGCCATCCCTTTTTGTTTCTGTTCTTCCTGGGGCTGCAGGATACAGGCAGGCTGCAGGATCCTCTGATCCTCCTTGGAAGCACCGGTCTCACGACCATGGTTGCCGAGCGAGCCGGATTCAGAAAAAAGCTCAGAATCTCCCTGAGCGGTGGGCTGAGAGAGCTCCAGGCTCCATAGCAGGAAACCGTCAAGTCTGTATTTGGGCCACATCACGAGATCACGAAAGTAGAGCCCGTGCGAGTCCCATAAGTACTGTTCACATGCTCTTTGGGATACACGCAACCTACATCTGAAAGACGTCAAAGAATGAAGGCGCTATCTCAGGGAGAGGCAGGCAGGCAGACAGCCAGCCAGCCAGGCAGACAGACAGGCAGAGAGAAACGAAGATAGATAGATAGACAGATAGATAATTAGACAGGTACATAGATAGATTGCATATGGGTACTTGCATACACATGTAGATATAGGCATATGGTTGAACATGCACACAGACATGTACATAAAGTTTCTACATGGGTACGAACGTATACGGACATACACAGTGATGGGAAAGCGGCAGAATTAATACATATACATATATATATATATATATGTATATGTATACATATACATATACATATACATGTACATGTACATGTACATGTACATGTACATATACATATACATATACATATACATATACATATACATATGTATGTACACTTGCAGATGTGAGTTTGCCTACATGTGTATGCGTGTGTATGTATACAGTATACGTGCGTTATATGTAAATATCTGCTCATGCATGCATGCGTCGTGTCTTGTTTCAAGACTTCACGCTCCGTGCTGCTTCGACGGCAGGTCGCTTCGCACCCAGCGCAATGTGGGAGGAGCCGTGGTTTCCATCCGTTCCAAGGGAGGAGTGCTGGCATCTATACCTATGCCGTCCAGGGTCCAATGAATTTATTAGGGGTCTTGTTGCTAGCATACTTCCATGCCGTGGTGAGTGAAAGTCATCTCAAGACGCCCCTCGGAACTCAAGTATGCTGAAAGCGAAAGCCCCAACATTCCAATCCCAGCACATTCCTTCCGTCAAGGCTATGAGTACTCCAACGAGCACCCTGAATGCCCCATAAATCACTCGCAAACACAGTCGGCTGTATCAAGGTGCTTGATCAATGCTCGGTTTCGGGATCGCAAGACTTCTGCTAATCAACTCGAAACCCAATCGACCCGACAGACAGACCGAACCCCTTTCAGCCCCGAAGCCCTAAACCTTCAAGGGCGACTCGTGCCAAATTCTTGATACGCCGAAAGCCCTGTCCAGCAGCCTTCAGTCCTGAACTTAAAACCCGAGCTTTAAAGCTTAGAGAACCCGAAACCACACAATTTTCGTGCCACACCCGAAAGCATACAGGCCTAAACCCTGAAAGGAGCCAGCGAAACCGTGCATGCTTTACTTCTTGACTGCGACGGCGTGATCGCAGATTCTGACCCTTGACCTGCTTCGGGTATGGGGTGTTCCGGTGGTAGCGCGCTGGCATTTGCAAATCTCCTGGCTGCAGGGCCAGTGTATGGTCTTGAGGTCTTCTGCATGTGGGTGGTTATCAAAATTATGGTCCCGTCCTGGGTCCCTATTAAAATGCGGCACTATTATTTAGGGTACCCAAAAAGGGACCCTAATTTTGACAACCACCTATGTATGGCATAGACTTCTACACGTCTTGTGCCCACTCGTGGAGTAAAGGATGGCAGAGTCCCGGTCTGGATCGCTGCGATTAGTTGCGACTGCCACTTGCGAGAGCAGCTGCCATGTCCTGTTTGAGAGTTGATGGATACGGTTAATGATATAAATCCTGCATTACCTTAAGGACCCTAAACTATGGGATTTTTTGGCATATTCCTTATTATGGGTAATGCAGGATTTCTATCATCAACCGTAGTAGGTTGCTGAGTCGAAGTCTCACTGCATTGGACGTTTCGTGTGTCAGGGCCAACCGCAAGAGCAAATTCGGTGGAAGACCCCTTCCCGGCTAAACCCTAAATCCTAAACCCTAAACCCTAAACCCTATCCCAAACAGGAAGACAAGGGGCCTGAAATCCTCCCGTCCTTAATTTATGTACATCCACCCCTAGGCCCTAAGCCATTTCCAAATCTAAATAAGCTGTAAACTTTAAACCTACACTTTCGGGACGTATGTGCCCTAGTCTCCTGGCCTACAGGCCTAAGTGGATGTCAGATGCTGGCAGACCTTAAAAAGGAGTTGTAATAAACAAAATCAACATGCTAAACCAAAGCAGCTCTCAGGAGAGCCTCCACAGGGAGGCTTACAACGAGGTCTTCGAAGAGTTCGGCCTGGAGGTCCGATGGTCCGAGGAGCACCTGGGCAATTAGAATTCTTTTTTGTCATGTTCAGTTCATATACTTAGTAAAAGGAGCTATCATGATTCTGAATAGGATTAGCATTTTTCTTAGGATTATGAATACTAGACTGCAATTAGGAATACTCTTATCACTATGACTGCTATTCTTGTTGTTATAACTGTTAGCCACAGGACTTTCATTGCTTTTATGGCCACTAGTAAAATTGCTAATCCTGATTGTTGTTACAGTTGTCATTGCTGCATAGAATCCTGTGCTTCTAGCGACATCGGGCTGCCTGCCAGAAGTTCCGTTTCTTATTCGTCCAGAAAAACAAGAATAGCATAGGATACCTCTAAACACGTCACGTTTCAAATGTAAAAGAGCCGTAAAGTACGGCTGGCTTGCTCTTTTAACAGCAATGCGCCAGGACTTTTAGGTTCCTCCTGCGTGCACGTGCCAGATATGCCATATATATATATATATATATATGTATATGTATAAGCCTGAAAATTAGCGACAGTATCCCCTCGGGGTGACTCTCCATTTTCACTGTAATGTACTCGGCAGCCGCATTCAAAATATTTAGGCGCCCATCCTATTCAAGTTGAGGTGGTTTTGGGATAGATCGTTGTTGTCCGGCACGTTTAGGCTTTCGGTTCTTTGATGTTGCCGGGGATGCGTGGGCTTTGTCATCGAACCGCTTCTTTCTCACAGAATGAGAGTTGCATATCCTTCGGGGAAGAAGGCTCGAAATTGGAGAACCGACCCGTGCAGTTTGCGATGTGTTCCGCATTGGCCTTAGAGTCCGGGAGCTTCGGTTCTGGGCTCAGCCTGCTAACATGGGAGCCACAACAACTTATGAAGATCTCTATTTCTTCCATACTTGTGACAGAGATAGAAATCCAGGAATCAATTTGGTGGTGATGAAACGCAAGGCTAGTCATGCCATCAAGGCTAGCAATCAAAGGGGGCAAGCACGGCCCAGTAGTTTCAACAAGTAGCTGTTATGACAGCAAAAACAGCCAGCCATATAGTTTTGGGCCGTAAAGGCAAGCCCCCAAGCTCTTCACTCCCTAGACCGGAGCTGCTGAGGTACTATGCCGGCGACTTATTGAGCTTGGGTGTATCAGGCGCAGGTGGAGATATATGCAGGCAGTGGTGTGTCAAGTCGGGACTTCCCGATAGCAGGATCCAGCATCAGCTCGCAGCGAGTTCACCCGACGACACGCCGACAACGGCACCACTCCACCATGCGCACTGCCCCCAAGTATTCTTACCTAGTGCGCCAGAAAGATGGCTTTGTTGTCTTAGCCAGGATTGCCCAGACCTCGGGCCAGGCTTCCAAAGTCATAGGTTCATCTGGATAGTGATAGTGTTACATTCTGAAGAGTAGGCAACTTTTAACCTTTTGGGGCACTATAATCCCTTCCCAATATACTCCCAATGGTTAACCTTCAGTTTCTCAGGATACTGGACAAGTAGGGTCATCACCATGCATTTGATTCAATTCCGTGAAGATTCATGGCCTCAAAATCTTTTGACAGCATTGGGAAGCGACCGTGCGCTCGGAGAAGTGCGCCAAGCAAGTCGGGATCTAGCCTGGCCTTAAGGCCTTAAGAGCCTGGATTCGGGCCTGGATGCTACATAAGTGAGCCTGAATAGTTGGCGATGTTGTTCCTTCGGGTGCCTAGGTATCATCATACTAACTACAACGTTCACCAGAAGCTCCGACTGAGGTATCAGCGACAATAAGTCCAAGCCTATTGCTAGGTGTCGGAAAAAGTTGACTTCAGATGGTATCGCAGCACTACAGTCCACGAAACAGCTCCTGAGCCTCCATTGACTCTATTCCCTGCACCTGCGCAAGGATTATCTGCAGAACAAAATCGGGGGTGGCATCTGAGACTGCACCTATTGCTTGTTGGTGGATTTTTCTAGAGCGGCTTATGAGTGGTAACAGAGCTTAACCCTGCTCTCCCCTGCAACTTCGCAATTTTGACCCAAGTCCATTGGCTTTTGGTTTTCGGGTCATCTGGGGACTAAGGTAAAAGCCAGAAAGTTGGAATATGATTATCCTAACCCTTACTATGGTAAATTATAGGATCCTACCATGAAACCATATTCCACCTTTCTGGAGTTCCCTGTACGGCCTGCGAAAACCTGAGCTCTAGAGGCCTCCGATTCGGGGTGCAAGAAAGGTGTTCGAAGTGTTTACATGCACTTTGTGTCTCTGCATCATAAGCCCCAGATCACTGCGAGGAGGAAAAGGGCCTTTCAAACAAAAATCGGAAAACAGCTCCTGCGACATCCTCGCTCGTGAAAACAGAGGTTCGGATCGTTTAGGGGGCCTCTGTTGCCTTTCTGCGGGCTTCAGGTTCCGAGGGCGTCACGGTTTCACCTTGGATTCTCCGTAGCGCTTTGTCTTACTGGGTCCCGTAAGAGAAGCAAGGCCAAGCATGATGCTTGAAGGGAGGGTTTGGATGTGGGCTCCCGGGGGCTTTGGGTGAAGGCTTTAGGCTTACTGTGAAGAATAGCGGTTTAGTGTCTGGGAGCAAGGGCAGGGTCAAAGGTTCGTGGCTTGGAGGGTGTTGGATAGAGGTTTC